TCCTTTCATACTACACTTCTACGGTATATATCTATTTTTTTCATTCCAACGGCGATTTAATTCTAAATGTGAGTTTAAATTAATAAATTTGTAATTATTTAGTATGCAACAATTACCAACTGTTTGGAATTATATTATCCAATTTACGCTATGCTAGTAAGTCTATTACTAAATGAATTAAAGGCTTTATACCTTTTAATTAATAAATTATTATTGATAATAATGAATATAAAAACAAAGCTACTACTTCCAATTCTACTAAGAAAGCTATAAAATCTGTTTCTTAATATTTTTTCTACTATACTTCTATATTCTAGTAGTAAATAAAAGCTAACTACAAGTATGGAAAAACAAATTCTTTACTCTCTCTTTATTACTAAAATTAAAAAAAATTCACTAGTCAAGACTAATACAACTAAAGTAGTAGAGAATTCGGTTGTACTAAATATACTAAAAGTAACTACTATAGATTCTACGTTCTGGTAAGAAATATATAAGAAACTTTAATCTAACCTTTAATTGTTCGTTAATTTTGATTTTCTCTCAATTCCCGAAGCTATTTATAATAAGTTCGGTACTTAGTAGAAGAAGAATGCTAATAAAAAACCGTGTGCTAAGCGCTTTATTATACTTGTAAAGGAATACTCTAATATTATAAGAGTTATCTCAGCTGCTAAAAAAGCGGAAAAGTAAACCGCTGCCGCCCCTTTTGATTATTTAAATGTAAACTTCTTTATATTTTCAATATTTAATAATGATTAAACTTTTAGTTTTTCTGTTTAGTTTATAATTAAGAAGGATATTAAAGTTGAAATTATGGAGGACAAAAAGTTCATTTTGCGTATTCGGTAAGTCAAAACTTTAGAAAAAATTGCTAGCTATATTAGTACTTATTTGCCCTCCCTTACTTAAATTACTATAATCACCCAAACTATCTTGAATACTATAAATAGTAATATTATATATATATTGTCTTATTACGCTAAACTACTTACATAGTCTACCCAGTGGGTATGCGGTACTGCTTCCGTTCTTAGTCGGTGGGAAAAACCGTACTGTAGCCGGATGAAAACCTTCCGTTTCTCTATTGCAACGGCGCCGTGTCGACGCCCTGCCTTCGATGTTTAATATTCCTCTCGACATGACCTCATCTTCATTCCCGAGGCCTGATCTTTGATTCCGCTGCGTGGTCCCCCGACTGTACTCCCGCTCTCCAGAATCAAAGATTAATCTGAATTCCTTAGTAGCTCTTCTGCTTCCTTCGCTTGTTCGATCTTCACTGCCAGCTTGTACTCCTGCAGTCATCCCAGTCGCAAAGCCTAGCGAAGGACTTGTTCCGCCCCCGCCACTGTCTCGAGTTTGTTATGGAGTTGTTTAATGTTTATCGGCCACGTTGGGTTTCCCCAAAACTATGTGTCTTCCGCTTTTCTGCATTTCAAGACAATATGGTCGAACGTCTCCTTTGCTAAGTAATATTATAGATTTTTAAATGGAAATTCGCTAAATAAGAACTTTTATCAACTTTTACTAAAAGAGTATAATATTAATAACTCTAATGATTTTAAAGTTAAATAAACTAGCGAATAAATTATTATCAAAAATACTACGAAATATATTAATACGAGTAAAAGTAAGAATAATAGTAAAACTAAAAATAAAAGTAAAAATAGAAGTAAAAATAAAAGCAAAAATAAATATAACAATAAATGTAAAAATAAATGTAAAAATAAATGTAAAAATAAATGTAAAATTAAAAGTAAAAATAAATGTAAAAATAAATGTAAAAGTATTGGTAAAGAATAAAGTAAAAAGAGAATTATTTAAAAAGGTTATGCCGTTACTTCTTCCAAAATTTAAATAAGTCTTCATTAAATTAGAATAATTTTATTCTCTCTAAATATCAATTAATACTAATTAGAAAATCATTAATCTAACTTCCTTTCTCAAAAATTCTTTCTTTCAATAATATTATTGAACTCATATTAGAATATTACTAATACTTATCTAAGAGTTTCAAAAGCGGTACCTAGAAAATAAGAAAAAGAAATGATATTTAGTAATGATCTTTTCAAAAATAAAACTTTTTTTATAGTTATTCCAATTATTAAATAGCGCTCTTTATATACGAAACTAAAATTTAATATTCTATTTTGTAATACTTAATATAAAGTTTTTCAAATCCTAATTTAAATATTTAAAACTTCAACGTAAAATTTATTTAATTATCCTTATTATATTAATAAAATTTTAGATTTTCAATATCAAATTTACTATTTATACGTCGATACCAATATTGTCGCTAAAATACCAGCTAACATGCGGCTCCAGAAGCGTACACAACCGCTATACAAACGCTCACGTACCGCTACGGTTCCTACCTAAGCGCGTTGCGTACGGGATATGGAAATTACAAGTAACATTAGTATTACGTCCGTACGATAGCTCGTATCAGGCGCAGCACCTGCCAAAACAGGTAATTGGGAGAAAAAGCTGGGACCTAGATAACAACCCTTGTGAGAAGCATTTTACAGCAACTTCCATATGCCCGTCTTAACATTTAATGATATATCTTGGCAGCAAGCACTAACACTTGCGTATAGAAGGTACCTTTGCAGCGTGCTTTGCGTGCATCTTGGCTCGAGGACCCTGCAGCAGGAAGTGACAGACCCTGCAGCAGGAAGTGACACCAAGTCCTGGCCAATTGGTCGTTCCTGTTACGATGCCAGAGTTACCCGTCAGTTCAGTTGGTTGACTCTATAGGTACGCAGGGCCGAGGCCATCGCAGTGGTGACAAAGAAAGCCCAACCTAAGTGATGGTTCGCAGCAAACCACTTTCTTTCATCTAATTCGGGGACGCCGCGGCGGCCATGACCGAGCGGGTAGCTCCGCCGATTCGATCCTTGACCCGTGCCGTAATGGCCGGGCGGTAGTATTGAGTATCACGGCATCCGAGCCCATCCAAGATGCGGCGGTATACTGCAACGGAGGGACCCGCAACAGCACCGGCCCGGAACTCACTCTCCGGTATTTCGGCTGCCCTTGAGAATCGGCCGGCTTGACTGATAGTGCACTAACAGAATGCAGGCAGCCTTGAGCAAAAGCTGGCTCAATCCATACACTGCAATAAACTCACCTACCAAACAGAGGATGACGGCGTAGCAATGACATTCGTCGACCAATCAAAAGGCCATCGCATAGCGCTAATTTCAACGGGGTAGCATCCGCCTCGCTGGATGGTTCCAGCTCGCGACCATGATGGTTCCGCGTTTTTAGCTTACCATTGGATGGCAACTTGTAATTATCACAGGCGCAATGGAAGCCTCACCCTGGTCCCAGGTTTTTGTTCTGGTGCGAACTAGTGAAAGCTCGTCACGCTTTTAGATTGTGTCAAAGGTGCCAAAGGTCTCAAAAGGGGGAAGAATGAAGTGAGGGAGGACTGAAGAGGGCCGCCATTCCCGCCTTGAAATTTGAGCGACACGGGAAGAATCTGGAGGAACAAGAGATGGAAGCTGAATGTCTCAAGGACAAGGCAGGAGGAGGATGGGCGCAGCAAAGAAGAAAGATGATGGGTGGACATGCATCTCATCTTGCTAGAAAGAGGCAAGCAGAGCAGGGTGGGATTGTCCGCTCGGGATCAGCGTTTGCTCTCTTCGACTCGCTTCCAGGTCTCCTCATGGATTTCCCGATAGGCAGGCATTCCAATTAAACATTTTGACGACGGGACAATGAGCAAACTTTAAGTTGTGTGTTCCAAACCTGCAATCCACGTATAAGATTCCTACGAGACGGTAGCAGCCAATAATGGCGACGGCAAGTGGTGATAAGGTCACAGTCTCGACAGTTCTCTGAATAAATACTTGTCGAGCTGTAGAGGTAGCCCCATTTTTTGTTCTTACCCCGTACTTTTTAGATCAGACAAATGGCATGCATTCCACTTTCTTCACAATCCACAGTGACCGCACCGACAGGAACATGAAGCGTGAGAAGAAACAAACTGTATGGACCGACCAAACAAGGAACCAAACGGTCGGGTAACCACGTTTTCACCTGTCACGGTTGTGCTTGAATGGCACGAAACGAAAGAACGCCCAAACATAAAAAGCTGAAAGCTGCCGTGCCTGCATAGGCCCATTTTTATATTGCTGACTCTCATTGCTCATTCACGGATTCACCCCAAAAAGGACCCTTGGTACATGGACATCACATACGGCTGACGCACGCTTGCTGTCACCCCTTGCACCGCTTTTGCACGGCATCGCTTTTCAGTTGCTCTCGAGTTGCCAAGGTTCCCAAGGTGCACGAGAGGCTCCGAGACCCGGCCATTCAAAAGGAGGCAAAAAAGATCCATTCATCGTCCATCCACCTAGTACAACACCATCCAATCCACCCACTGACCGCTGACCGCCGCCGTCCAAAGAAGGGACAAGTCAACGTCAACGAGGCCACCAACCTGCGACAAAAGGCCAACGAAGACGCGCACTAATCAACCTTCGCCGTCGCAGGTGTAATCTATTATCCAGTAGGAACAGGCAATTGTTTACTGGAACTGCGGTTGGCGCCACCCGTACGTATACACTACAACCCGGTCCAGGGGGATTGGAGTTGCAGTGTTTTTTTTTGCTCGTCAAACAAATCCGCTTGCCCCGTTTTATCGTCGATGCCGATTCCGAATTGAGACTCTCCGCCCCCGTCGGTCGCTGCCCCCGTCGACTACACTACACTACAGCACTTGCACCCCCCGTCAACTGCCACCGACCCTCGTCGCTTTTTGAACACCAACCTCCCGCTTCACGTCCTCCTGACCCCGTCTCTCCTCCCACGTCAGCCAAACAGCAAAAAAGAGCACAGAGACACACATCGAGCCCGTTCTCTGATCCACTTTGTCGTCTCCCCCCCCCGACGACGTCAAATTCTGCAAATACAATACATAGCCCTCGCCCGCCTCGACTCCAACCGGGAGAGCGGCCGCGGCGTCTATAGGCGCTGCAGATGATATTAGCATGATGGCTACCGTTTCCCGGACTGCAACTGCCTTGACGACGCCGCCAGCCACATCCCACGGCAACAGCAACAAGTATACTTCGTGGGACAGCGTGTCGGTGCCCGTCCATTCGGAGGTGAGTCTACGAAGTCCCATGAGTCCATCATGATATCTTGGTAATTCGGGAGATTACACGCAATATCCCCTGTTCCCCGCATCTCGTTTTACCTCCCAGTTTCCTTATTTACTCCTGGCCCCGGGAAAACACCACCACGCGCCTGAGGCCTTCCGTCGTCGTGCTCCTGTGCATCGAGGCTGCCTGTGTGCATCTCGCCCCATCCATCCATCCATTCTTTCCATCTCTTCTCTCCCCGTGTCCACACCCTGCCCTGGTGCCTGCTCAGGTCTAGCAAAGAAGGAGGCATCCACTGACGCCATTGCTCATTGCCATCGCCATCTCCATCGCCATCACCGCTTCCATCGCATTTCCATCATCCATTTCCGTCCATCCATCCATTCACTAACATCCTCCTTTCCTTCCGCTTCTAGAAGCCCGTCAATCCCAAGAGGTCTTCCATCAACAATGAGAACGGCTACCCCTTTGGCCGCCCTGTCCTAGCTTCTCAAAAGAGGAATTCGACTCTGCTCGCCACCAACAACACACCACCCATGGACTCGCTCGCACACGATCACTATAACGGGGACGTAGCCGACGATGCCAGGTTTACAAATACCGACGCCGGCTACCTCGTGCCGTCGCATCACAAGGACTTGAAGCCTCGAAGCGCCAAGGATGGCGGGAGTCCCGCCGACAGTTTGTTCGACCCGGAAACCGACGAGAGCAAATGGATTCACCGTGACAAGCTCGTCCAGATTGAGAACGAGGAACTACAGGCTGCCGGATTTGTCTTGCCGGGAGCAAGAGACAATAGGGCACGGTCGAAGAGCGGGAACCGTCTGAAGAGGGATCAAAGCCAAGATAAGCTTAGCGGTCAGGCTAGATCCATTGGTGGCGGTGAGCACATCGGTTCGAGGTCGAGAAAGAACTCGTCAGCCACGCAGGACTGGGACAAGCGAGCCGATGATGGTGCTGAGCACGCTGATTCTAGTTATTCCACGTCGAACCCCGGTGCTAAAGTAACATCCCGGATACCCGTGCCGAGAACCAAGGCCTACCCAACAACGCCCACTGACGAGAAGGTTGCTGCCTTCGCGCGGAAACGGGACAGCAGTCCTGAGGAGGACAAGGAGAAGATCGCCATTCCGAAAACTCGAGGTCGGAGCGGCAGTACAGGGAACGCCCTAACCAAGGCGGCCAATGGACCCGATGCCCGGCCTATAGCGAAGCGGGCCGACACCTCTCCCATCAAGAGCAAACCGGCTGCGGGAACCAAGAAGGTTTCCGGCAAGGCTGCTACTACCACAACTGTGCGACCGCGAACACGAGGTGCATCCAACAAGGAGTCAACCGGTGCTCGCCCAACGACGCGTTCCGGTGACCGAGAGCTCTCGCCCACAACGCACAGGCCAATGGAAGGTGAACCGCCCTGGATGGTTTCGGCATTTCGCCCCGACCCCCGTCTGCCGCCTGAGGAACAACTGCTACCAACAGTGGCCAAGCGGTTACAACAGGAGAAGTGGGAGCGGGAGGGCAAGGTTGGCAACGTCTACGACAAGGAGTTTAGGCCACTCACGGACGAAGGCTTCCTCGAGCCACCTGAGCATCCTATTGTTGCGCCCGAACATGAACCGGTGGAGATCAAGAACGAGGATGCCAACGAGAACGAGAAAGAAACAGAGAAGGAAAACGAAAAGGAACAGCCGCAGGCAGATTGGCCACTGAAACCCGCCGAGCCTCAGTGTCCTCAGAGTCCGCCTCCCCCGAGTCTTCACAGCCTTCAAAGCCCCCGGAGCCCGGCTCCCGTTGGACGTACCAACTCTTACTCGACGATGCCCAAGATCGCGGACAAGCCGGCTTTGACCAAGGTCCCCAGCCCGAAGAACCCCCCACAGCCTCCTCACGCGTCGCAGGTGATCAGGCTACCGGAGCCTCCCGAGGATCCGCCTGCGAAGAAGGAAAAAGGAGGATGCGGATGCTGTATCGTGATGTGAGCGTTAGGCTCCAGAACCTGGCATCATCCATACTCGACTCCTTAGTCAACCGACACCTATCAAACCCATCGATCACCAACACGACCTTTGGTCTTTTATATCGTCGTCCGCCGCAATCAAGCCGTGACTCTGCTATCATTGGCTTCTGGTAGTCCCCGAGCACTACCCTGAATAATGACGAAACGAGCTCCTTTTTTCTATATACTCAAGTCTGGCACATTCGATTCTGCATTTGCATTCACATCACACCCACCACGCGCACATGCACATACCCCCAAACCTGCTTGATTTGACTGCTACTTTTGGCAGTGTTCCCTCATTAGTTTCCTTTGTCCTCAGTTTTTATTTCAAAGCACTTCCTGCTCCAGACTGCTCGTTGCTGTCAGCGTGCTCCCGATCTTTAGCCTTGTATCCGACCTTCAGTCCCCATACCAAGGGACAACAATGGTCAGCAACGTGACCTAACAAAAATGGAGCTTCTCGACCACGGCGACGGTTATTCCGGCAAAAGGGAGAGCAAGGGTTTACAACGGTGGACGGAGAATTACAGAACAAGGGAGGGAACTCCTATAGTTTTGTCTTGACGACAACCCGAACGAAGATCAGGATCATTCCCACCCGTCGTGCCAAGTCGGGAGCAAAAGTCGAACTTCCTGGAAAAGGAAAGACCATTCGACAAAAGGGAATCGATCATTGACGGAGAGAGTGAGAGAGAGAGAAGTTTCAAGGCGGCAAGCAAAGAGAGTCGGAGAAAGGGAGAGCGGGAATGGAGTAGGAAGAATTTGGAAGAAACATTGGGGTTCAAAGTGGAAAAGGAAGGACCAAAGGCGAACACCCAAACAAACAAAACCCCACCCGGTTATAATACCATCTTATCTTAATTCCCAACAACTCTCTTGTACATGGTCTGGTTTTCCTCTCTGCCGTCTTTCATCAGTCGTCGAGGATATCAATCATCCATCCACATCACGCAATACAATCAGTCAAGTCAATCATACCAGAGAACTAAACTCTAGTACTTAGTCTATCCCCATCATCACCCAGATTGTCTCTCAAAGAACAAATTTTCGGTCTCGGTCTTTTGTGTTTTTCCGTTTGGCTTTTGATGTTTGTGTTGTTGTTTCAGCCTGTTTTGTCTTGTCTGTCTTTCTGCTTTTGCGTTTGCGTTTGCTTGTCTCGCGCGTTATCTGCTTTCCTGTCTCAGTTAGTTATGCCCCCCTCTTTCCAGCAAAAATGGGGAAAGAATGCGCGGAGTTAGTTAGTTTTCCGATGGGGTGTGCGGGCGTTTTTGTGTTTTCAATTGAGTTTTTTTCTTTGTTTCCTTAGTCAACTATCTATCTACACGCACGGCACGCACACGCAAGATCGAAGAGCAAGAATGGCTCAAAGAGGAAGAGGAAGAGGAAGAGGAAGAGGAAGAGGAAGAGGGGAAGGATAGCCAATGCGCGGTGGCTGGCTGGCTTCAAGGGAGGACGGGAGAGACGGGAGGAAAAGAAGCAAGCAATAGGGGGAGCACATATTTCAGGATTATGGACCAGACTAGATAGGAGGGGAGGCAAAGAGACCGTCTGTCCTATCTATCTATCAGCTTACTACTTAGTAGCTAGCTAGCTAAGTCGTTCTTTTGAATGAGAACAATAAAGGGAATTCTGAACGGTTTTTTTTTTCAACTTCGGTTCCATCCCACTTGACAACGAAGTGACTCTAGTAATGATGCGTCACTGCTAGATTCTATATAAGCTAATAACCCAACGGGTATGCACTCCATGGTACTTGTCGTTGTCTTTGCCTAGGTATCTAAGGTGTTTGTGAACACTCATTCCTTTAGAAGTAAGGTCGTTAGTTTGGAGTGTTATGAATCTACCTGTACTGCGAGACACCGTACACTACCTACCTATCTACCTACCTACCTACCTACCTACCTACCTACCTGCCTACCTACCTACCTACCTACCTACCTACCTACCTACCTACCTAAACTTGGCCACAAAGCCATACAGACAGACACGAGACTTTGCTCAGATTGACCGAACCCATTTATTATAAGGACCGTGTTGCTAGTGTAGATCACTGCTCGATTGTCCCTGCCTCTCGCTCCTTCCCGTATTATACAATACGATCCGACCTGTCAGTCTGGGGAAGGCGCGACCCGACCGTTTGAGTACAACCCGGTCAGGTACTGTTTGTAAATTAGGTAGGCTTAACCCTGCTTCGGCTATGATCTCATAAGTGAGTGAGCCCAACCTCAATAGTTGATTACGCTTGTAAACCGACCTAATATGGGAACCAGACGAAATGTCACAAAAGAAGCGGCATGAAGCATGCCCGGGCAGACTTCACACGGTAAGCCGCCACAAGAAACTGAACCGAACTATTTGTAGGCGTGCACATTGGTGTGAATATCTGTGAATTCGATACAACTAGTAGGTATGGCCACTTTGGTTGAGTATGTATGTATATGTAGGTATACGAACATTCATGAATATTCCTTTGTTTCTTTGAACAAGCAGAAAGCAGCTTCTTCACCCTAGTAGTTTCTCTCGCTACCTGATAAAAGAGAAGGCAGGTCTCAAAACCTCAAAACCATACGCTAAAAAAATTAAAAAAACGCCAGCCAGAAGCCCAAAACTGGACATGCAGCGTCAACAAGGCAAAACTTGATCTTAATCAGAACAACCAAGATTTTGGGGGTATCTTGAAAGAATTCTCCTTCTTTAGAGCCTCGTGTAGAGCCTCCCTCCCTCCTCTTGATCGGTGTCGGGAATGCTCCGCGCTTCGAAACTGATACCGGTACCGACAGAGGACCGGTTTGGATAAACTGACAGACTTGATCATCATGGCTATCATCAATGTACGGACTCAAACAACCGATTCCACAAACTCAGTCCACGATCAACATATATACCGGGGACTCGTCGGCTCTCAGTGTCGTGGTATCCTCCTCTTCTCTTCTCTTCTCTTGTCTCATGCTCACACATCTCTTTTCCCCTCATCACCAGTGATCATTTACCAATCATCAACATCTCCATCCCACTGATCACCGACATCCGCCCATCCACAACCCCACCTCCGTCCGCCAGTCTCACCACCTGTCCTCAAATCCTTCGCCTCCTCGCGACCCTCGCGCCAGCATCTCACCAGGTAGTCATCGCTGGCCGTCACCAAGCTGCCATCCAGCGCCCACGTAAGCGAGCCCACTTCCTTCTCGTGCCCCCTTACAAGCGGCGTGCCGCGGCGGACGATGGGTGTGTTTGACGACTGACCTCCCTTGATACCAAACAAGCTCGCCGAGGAGCTGGTTCCCGGTCGTCCTGACGACGAAGACATGGACATTGATGAGGATGACAAAAGCGAGGTGGTAGCGCTGCGGGTAAGACGAGGACGAGCGGGCGTGATGGGGATGCAAGAGGTGGGTTCGCCGATGAGATAGGAATCATCGTCTTCCTGGTTGGGGTGCTGGCGCTGCCAGGCAAAAGCTTCTCTAATGTAGCGCTCGTCGGTGGGGAAGAGGACGGCGGCACCATCGCTGCTTCCCACTGCCAAAAGTTCCGAGTGGCCGTGCCTAGCGGGCCGGATGGCGGACTTGACGTAGAAAGATGTAGCGTGGAAGAGCGGGTGGCGGAAGCCGTAGAGGGGTCCGAGACCCTCGTGCGCGGTGCCGTGGTGGTGACGACGGCGTGGGGGCTCCTCGCCGGGGCGGGCGGCGGCTAGCTCGACAGCGTGGCCGAGGACGAGGTGAGCGGTGCTATAGGCGTAGACGGTATTGTCTTTGCAGAGGGTGTAGAGGCGGGAGCCATCGCCGCCGAGGGCCATGGAGGAGATGCCGAAGGGACGCCAGCTGGCGTGGCTGGGCAGGGGCGCTGTGAAGGAGACGGGCGTGCTGTATTTGTGGTGGCGGCTGGTGTGCACGGCGCGGATGTCCCAGAGCTTGACGCTGGCGTCGGCTTCGCAGGCTGTGAGGAAGAGGTGTTCCCTACCAGGAGGAAGAAACTGGAGAGCGGTGACGGAGACTTCACCAATGCGACCAGGCACCTCGCCTATCCGAGCTACATCGACGTTACTGGCGCCGGGAAGCAGATTGCGAGCCTGTTTCTGGGGAATACGTGAGTGGGCATCATAGATGCTGTTAACAACGCAGCCCGGGTTAGGGGTGCGAGGAAGACGAGCGTGAAGGCCAGCTTCAGAGCGGATAGCAACGTCTTGCACCGGCCCACCTCGGCAACGGAGATCCCAGATCTGTACGCTGCCATCTCTACTAGTCGTGGCGAGGACAGAGTTGGCGCCGCGGCCCGGCTGGAAACGGACTTGTTTGAGGGATGCGGTGTGGTGACCCAAGATCGAAATGGGCTGTTGCGTTACAAAGTCCAATACTTTACCTGTCTGGTCACCAGAAGCTGTGGCAAGAAGCAAGTCATCGTCGGAGAAGGCCATGTCAATGATGGCGTTGCCATGTGCCTGGAACGACATGTTGATCTGGGAGAACTCATTCTGGGTGTCCAACAGACGCACATACCCTTCCTCGTCACCTACAGCAACAATACTCTTGGCTTTGGGGTGGTTAGCAAACGGAATACTTTAGTACATGACGCATCATGACTTACTATTGCAGCTTGTGGTGCAGAAAGGGATGCTGCGAGGGTGTCCTTCGTGGCTGGTCATAAAGTGAGCGTCCTCTCGGCGACTATAAAAGTCTGACGTTTCCGACCGCCAGTCTGTTTTCGAGTCAGCATGGGCCCCAAGGAAGACACATAGATACATCATCACATACCAGAAACTGGGCAGGACAAGTTCCTGTTTCCAGGACCAGGCATACCACCTGTCAATCTCTGCACCAGTTGAGCCCCCACTCCTCGACGATCCAACTGTAGAGGCGCGCGGTTTGGCCGACGCCTTGTGGTTGGCAACTCTTGCTCATCCTCATCACTTTCTTCCGACTCAGCCTCATCTCCATCAAGGGCCAATTGGGATGGCAGCTTCCGAACAGAGTGGATGGGACTGCCGAGACGATCGCGCCTCAACTCGGGAGTTGGAAGTAACGCTGGGGATGTGGCCGCAGGAGAGGGTAGGTGGGGTACGTGAGATGCCTCAGCCCTCTTGGGCGTTGAAGCATGGGTGACCTTTCGACGCTTGGAGCTTCTCTGGCCATCCTGAAGGCTCGGTAGCACATCGGGGATCTCCTCTTCCGAGATGGGCCTAAGAGGACTGGATGGTGTATGGCCTCGTTGTAGCAGAGGACCGGCTAGATCACGAAGAGCCCTTTGGGAAGCGCTGGGGTTGTTGTTGTGGTTGGTGTTGGCTATGACTCGGGGGGTAAAGAAGCGTCTGAATTTCCTGGGGGTGATGGACGGGTTTCGACGTTCCTTGGCTGAGCTTCGCGGAGGCGGAGAGGATGGAATCGGGGGGATGTTGTTGGTGGTATTCAACGACGACGAGCTCTTAACTCCCAAAGGGGTCGAAGTGCTGTTGGAGTTATCGGCCATGGCGATGGGATTCTCTTCGACTACCAGAGCGAAGAGTATAGTCCAGGGCGCTTATGCGACAAAATAGAGACGGTAAACGGGGCCGGCGACGCTGGATGCGCGCGACCTGGCAGCGTAGGTGCCGCCGATGGGTAGGGTAGACGTGGACAGAAAACAGGCCGTGGTGACGGATTATATGTACAATGATAATCAGTTGGGCATAACTGGCCTATGTATTTGCTGACAATTGTTGATCGGATGTTGGATAATGGCCGATGTCAAAGTTGCAGACTAGGTAGACTATGTGCAGGCTGAGCTGTTGAAGAAAGACGGGAGGTCGTCGTTCCTGGAGTGACAAGGTAAGCGGCTGGACGGGGGTTTAGGTATTGGCGTTGAGTCTATTGGTTGGCGGAAGTGGTGCTGGATGGAGTCTCTGGGTGAATTGAGTGGTGAATATGTATGTTGGTTGTCTGTGTCCGAGATGTGCTTGAGATTGAATGCGTGGAAATGATGGAATTGAATTGTTCGGTTTCTTGTTGTGTGGATTTGCCTGGTTCTGTTGCACTTTCGCTGAGTCTGAGTTTGCCCGGCAACCAAATGGAAATCGACAAGCCAAACCTGACCTTGGACCAGATGGAACAGTGGGCAATGAAGGCTGAGCGTGCGGTCCGCAGCGGCCGGGGGGCCCTAGAAGGTATGCGGTTTAGTGCTCCATCGGGAACGCGAGACGCGGAACAAATGACGCGCTGGATCGCGAAAGCTTAATGGCTTTTCGTCCCATTTATTCGCGGTTGCTGGAGACATGAAGATTGGTCAATGCACTGCAGTTCGACCGTGGATGCCTGACCCACTCTGACGGGGCCGGTCTGGCTCGTTGCCCCACCAGCCGTTGGAGTCTTGGAGGAGTCCAGTTTCCTTATCGCTTATCGCCCTGCAGCCGCCATCCAAAAAAATCATCCTACAACGACGACCCTGCAATCCCTGCGCTGCGAGTGCTGGAGGAAAGTCAAAGGCCACTGCATTTGCACCAGAACATCACCTACCACTACCAAAAATCACCAGGTCGTCTTGCTCAACAACACCAGTCGGCCAGTACCCGACTTAGAGCACCGACACCATGGCGATTCAAAAGAAACACGGCAAGGGCCGTTTGGACAAGTGGTACAAGCTTGCCAAGGAGAAGGGTTATCGTGCCCGTGCCGCCTTCAAGTTGATCCAGCTCAACAAGAAGTATGGCTTCCTCGAGAAGAGCAAGGTCGCTCTCGATCTTTGCGCTGCGCCCGGTGTAAGTTATCATGTAGTCTTGGATTCATGTCATGGATGGGGTGAACTAACCGTGTTTGTTTCCGTCCCTAGTCGTGGTGTCAAGTCTGCGCCGAGACCATGCCGACAAACTCCATCATTATCGGTGTCGATCTCGCTCCCATCAAGCCTATTCCCAAGGTCATTACCTTCCAAAGCGATATTACCACCGAAAAGTGTCGCGCCACCATCCGCACCCATCTCAAGACATGGAAGGCCGACGTCGTCCTCCACGATGGTGCGCCCAACGTCGGTACTGCTTGGGTTCAGGATTCGTACAACCAGGCCGAACTTGCCCTGCACTCGCTGAAGCTGGCCACTGAGTTCCTTGTCGAGGGTGGTACTTTCGTCACCAAGGTTTTCAGATCCAAGGATTACAACTCCCTTCTCTGGGTCTGCAACCAGCTTTTCGCCAAGGTCGAGGCCACGAAGCCCCCTTCGTCCCGTAACGTCTCCGCCGAAATCTTCGTCGTCTGCCGCGGCTTCAAGGCTCCCAAGCGCATTGATCCCAAGCTTCTCGACCCCCGCTCCGTTTTCGAGGATGTGGCCGGCCCCGCCCCCAACAACGAAGCCAAGGTGTACAACCCCGAGATCAAGAAGAGAAAGAGAGAGGGTTACGAGGAGGGAGAGTACATCCAGTTCAAGGAGATCTCTGCCAGCGAGTTCATCAACACTGTCGATCCCATCGCCATTCTCGGCCAGTACAACAAACTCAGCTTTGAGCAACCCAAGAATGGCGACGTAGCGTTGGCTGCCCTCGACAAGCTCCCCGAAACGACCGAAGAAATCCGTCTCTGCTGCGCCGATCTCAAGGTGCTCGGCAGGAAAGAGTTCAAGCTCCTCTTGAAGTGGCGTCTAAAAGTACGAGAGATCTTCGGCTTCCCCACCAAGAAGAGCCAGAAGGCGGCTGTGGACGAGGAGGTTGCTGTAGTGGAGAACATGGATGAGGAGCTCAGGATTCAGGAGGAGCTGCAAAGGATCAAGGAGAAGGAGAGCTCCAAGAAGAAGCGCGAGAGGAGGCGCGAGAACGAGAAGAAGCAAAAGGAGATCGTGCGCATGCAGATGAACATGACTGCGCCCATGGATATCGGTATGGAGCAGGAAGGTCCTCGTGGTGAGGGTGCCATGTTCCGTCTTAAGGCCATCGACGCGAACGCTGCTCTGAACAAGATCGCCAAGGGCAAGATGGCCCTTCTCAAGGAGGCCGAGAAGACGAAGGATTACGACTTTGGCTCCGAGGGCGAAGACGACTCGAGCGACGACGAGGCCGATCGTCTGGAGGCAGAGCTCGACAACCTATACGATCAGTATCGGGAGCGTAAAGCGGCGGCCGATGCCAAGTACCGTGCCAAGAAGGCCAGGAAAGAAAACGGCGACGACGAATGGGAAGGTGTATCTGGCGATGAGAAGGCGGGTAGCGACGAGGATGATGATGATGAACAGCTGGAAGTGGACAGCAGTGATGAGGATTCCGACTCAGAGGATGGTGAACCTGGCCAGAAGCTTATAACAGACCTGGACGGTCAACCAGAATCGAAGGATGGTCTGTCTAAGCGTGCCAAGAACTTCTTCAGCCAAGGTATCTTTGCGGAAATACCAGGGCTTTTGGAGGAGCCAGAATCTGAAGAGGAGACTCAGGAGGCTGAGCTTGTTGAGGCTGTCGTGGAGCTCAAGGTCACCAAGAAGGAGAAGGAGAAGAAGGCGGCCAAGGAAACCAAGTCCAAAAACAAGTTGGCCGAGGAGAGCGCTGACGAGGACGATTTCGAGGTTGTCAAGAATAACGAGGATGACGACTGGGAGAACGTTGAGAAGAAGAAGAAGAACGGCAGGCCGGGTAAGTTTCTTCTTTGGTGTGACCTGGTAAGGACGCTAGCTAACCATGGCAAACACAGACATCGACATCATCACCGCCGAGGCCATGACCCTCGCTCACCAGCTCGCGACCGGCGAGAAGACAAGTTACGACGTCATCGACGACGGTTACACCAAGCACGCCTTCAAGGACCGCGACGGTCTTCCCGACTGGTTCCTCGACGACGAGTCCAAGCACGACAAGCCCCACAAGCCCATCACCAAGGCCGCGGCCGAGGCCATCAAAGAGAAGCTTCGTGCCTACAACGCCCGTCCCATCAAGAAGGTGGCCGAGGCCAAGGCCAGGAAGAAGTTCAAGCAGGCCCAGAGACTCGAGAAGCTCAAGAAGAAGGCCGATATGCTTGTCGGTGACGATGGCTTGTCAGAAAAGGAGAAGGCTTCCAGCATTTCGAAGCTCATGTCCCAGGTTAAGAAGAAGACGAGGAGGGCGCCTATCAAGGTCGTCAAGGCTGCTGGTACCAACAGGGGTGTCTCGGGCAGACCTAAAGGAGGTTCGTCGTACTTGCCTACGCTTTCGTGTGCTTATCGGATGTTGTCGCTAACTTTGTTGTTTCACTACTACAGTCAAGGGCAGATACAAGATGGTGGATCCTCGTATGAAGAAGGAGTTGAGGGCGATGAAGAGGATTTCCAAGAAGAAGAAATAGACGTCGCGTCCGTGTCCGTGTTCAGCAGCAGCAAAAGCAGCAAAAGCATAGTTAGGGGTGGAAGTTTTAATTGCGATACCTTTTTACCTGTTCATCATATAGTTGTAGAAGACGGTTGTTGTGACAAGACAGATTTTGTAGTTGTTGTACTACATCGAAGGGGGATAAATTGTTGGATGGTCAGTCAATAAGAGCAGCACTGTTGAAAGCTTTCAAGACGCCGATTTACTTGGGTTCACCTTATTTCACCCCTTCCTTCCATTTCCTACCTCGCAACCGAACCTTCCGGCCCTCGTGATCGAGAAGTTATCTGCTCGCACGGTCGGTATATCGTTTGAGGAAATTGTGCGTCGGCGTCGGCAAAAGCAGTTGATACCCGTAAACTGGATGCCAATGGCCATGCAATCTTGCTGATAACATTTTCCTCGCGGCATATCGAATGGAATGCGATAATATTGACGAGTGTCCCCGGCCCTTCAACGCTCGCGAGGCCAGTACGCCCAGATGTTACACTCCATCAAGCCCAGGGCAACTGTATTCCATTCCATCTCAGTGAAGATGAACAGTGTTTCGACCCTCGAAGGGATCCATCACAAGGTGAATAAAGAACGTTAATTGATTGTATGATTAAAGTGTCGTCGTTGGCCGACTTTGGTTGTACAGAAAACCTTCGATGTGCCGAACATACTTGGATCATCACGATTTTTTGTAATCCCTTTTTTCACCCCAGAACCCAGAACAAAAATATAAAAAGTACATTTTTCCGATATCAAAAATATCTCCTGAATCAAAAGAGAGAGAAAAGGCACAAAGCTAAGTCGCCAATGGTATTTACGCTTGTGGAACGAACGCAAAATCCGCCCGCTGCTACTGAGTTGGCGAAAACTGTACCTCGGGATACCCAAGCGCACCCCGTTACCTAACCCCCCCTACCACAACGGAGAGCCCCTGTGCCGTGGCCTTCCGCTCTTATGGCGCAGTGGTTCCATTCCCCGGGCGTTGATGAAAACATTGCCAGGATTATATGATGCCTAGGGCAGGTTTTAGGGGTCCTGCCGGACGGGAAGGTTCCTGTCATCAGATGTTCTGCGGCCGGCGGTAGTGGCGACGGTGGCAGGAATGGCGATGGAACGGTAGCAGAGTTGTCCGGTCGCAGTTGTCACCAGCACCCGGTATCCATCGCACCGCACCGTGTATTCCTGGCCCGCCTTCATCGATGATTATATCTTCGGTACTTTGACCAGATATCAAAGACGGATGGATATGTTGACTTTATTCTATGATCTCACTTGTCGTTTCTTCATTCTTTACTTTTCTCCTGCTGCTGCTGGTTGACTGCCCTCACAAAGGAGGTAAACGGGTACAGAGGCCCGGTGAAGTCCATGTCGTACCTGTTCGTTTTCTAGTGGTCAGTATATAGTCGCTTCAAAATGATGAACACTGCTTGTTTACTTACCAGTAGTTCACAGCAACGCAAATCCCTTCCTGCAAGCAAGACTGTGAGACCTTATGATACCTGTCGTTCAGACACTCATGTTAGCAATCACGCTCTCATCTCACTCACTCACTCACTCACTCACTCACTCCCGCTTCCTGAATGAAGAGAGGAAAAAAACTCACCACATGGCAGGCAAATAAAGCATATCCCCCTCCTCGAGCGTCACCCTCATCGGCTCCGCCAGCTTCGAATACCGCGTGGCGTTCTCCTCTGGCTTATCGGGGTCCCAGATAGCGAAGGGGACTGTTACCTCCTGTTCTTTTCCTGTCTCCTCATCTTCTTCCTTTTCCATCACCAGTTCCAGTTGCCCCTTTTCTTCCCTTCCAGTTTCCTCCTCGCCCCTGGTTTTCTGGTGTTGGCGACGCACATACCCCCCACTCTTCAGTTCACTCTCATTCACACAAGGCAAACAATGCGGCGGCAACAGCACAAAGTGTTTCCTGCCCCGAATCTGCACGTAGACATTTTCGTAGTTGTCTTTGTGCAGAGCGGTCGTCGACAGGGAATTGCCGATCCAGAGGTTGACGGCTTCCGGTTTGGCTTCCTCGTGGGGACTGGACAAGGCGATGCGGGCCCAGTGGATGGTGGGCGGGACGTGGCTGTAGAGGGAGAGGTATTCTTGTCGGAGATTGTCGTTTTCTTTGAAGGGGTGTTAGTGTGAGTTGTGAGAATTGGAAAGGGAGTGAATATGAAAAGATGCGTGAGTGGATGGTGCGAGTACTGTGCAGACAGCATGAGGTAAGTGGCTTGACCTACGAGTTTGAGCATAGCGAACCTCGGAATTGCGAAGTCCTCGGGTCTTTTCTTGGTGAATCACATAGGTGAGGAAGTCGTTGAAGGACTGGTCTTCTTCGTGGGGCTTGGCGAAGACTAGAGAGCCGGTTTGGGGATGGATGGTTGGGGCGTCGGCGTTTCTTTTTATGTGAAGATATACGTGTGAGTGTTTTACGATAGAGGTACCTGATATTTTTGCTTTTTCTCAATCATCTCGCGGACAGTGACAGCAAACATACCCATAAGGAGTGACGGCAACATTGACAGTCTCATCTCCAAGAAAATTGGACAGATACTCGGCGGTCCATGTCTGGGTTGCCTTCCAGTTTGCGGCACCGCCTCTTACGACGAAAGGGGTGTTTCTGGCTACAAATCTCATAAACTCGAGCGCACTGGGCTCTTCGTGGAGCTCCTCGATGTGGGAGCTGTTGAGTTCATTGTAGGTGACGATCAGGTCTGCAATGGGATCGTGGTCCCCCGGTTGTTCCTCTCCCATGTTTACTTTCAGCTCAGCTCGGTGGGGTTTAGACCGAGATGATGATCGGACCCGAAGTTGTTTGTTTGAGGTTTTGGCGGTTGCTCTTTTTTGGCCGCCTCTACCGCTGCAGTGCTGGTCGTTGCCCGGCAGTGGCACGCGGTAGGGGTGGATAGGCGGAGGCTCGGAGCAGGCCAATCAGTATAGGTTACGGTTACGTTACACCCAAGACAGCGGCATCAATGACAGAATAATGGCCTGACTTTTGAGGGTCCTGGGGTCCAGAGCAGAAGCGTCATCAAGTTATCAACGCAGCCATGTGGTAGTGTGGATAGGCGGGAAAAGGCGATTGCTCCAGCATCGGAATCTCAGCTGTCTATAAAGTGAAGCTGATTCCCATCTCGATTTTCTCGTCGGTTTTTGCATGCCAATTTTCCCATCGACAATGTTTTGGTTCCGAAAACTGGAGTTGGAGTTCTCCTTCTCCCCTCCCTCTCCTGCACCACCATCTCCGGCCTTGCCGCAACCACCAATCAGCGAACACGGACCCAAAACCCCCAGTGAACAGCAAGGGACAACAGGGCACAGCTGGGCCACAACTTGGTTCTTCCATTCGGTCTCCGCTCCGAATCCCCTCATTGGAAGACGGGCTACAGTTGCCGACACCGAAACTTGAGAAGGTCCCAGAACGGATACATGCTCCGAAGGCCAATGGATACTTTTTCATACACCGATATCACAGCACTACAACAAGTCGGTCGCACAATATTGGGAAAGGCAAGTCGTGGATAGAGGTGGATTACGAAACCGATTGCGAATACGACGTGGACCCTCACCCTCATTGTCGTCCATACCTGTACAGGAGTCTATTCCGAGTTTATGACCCATAGCCATGGATGGGGAGGAGGAAAGAAAACGCGCTACTAGGGACAGCAAAGGATGGGTCGACCAAGTCACAAACGGTTTCGAACGAAGGTGGTTTTTATCGGAGCAAAGACAACGGGGTCGAACGGGGTTGGACAGTTGGGACAGTGGATTGCAGCCATCGACTCTCCTTTTTTTTTTTCCAAAGGAAGTCTATGAAAGACTTGCATCCAATATCTCTCCGAGACTCCATCCCGCTCACACCACGTCTTGTGGCCAAGCATCCCCTTGCGTTGTCCGTCTTTTCTTTCGTGGCAAAGAAGGAAAGGGGGATCCGAATTTGCACATCGCCTTGCTACCCAACTAGAGGTATCCCTGGACTTTCGGAGATGGATTCGTCACTCGACAGCGGGCATTGCGAGAACCCTTTTCTCTCTTCCCCGCCTCCAGACCGCCGTCGCCCCGACATTGTACCTACACGCGGCATCTCATATCCCGCATCACGGATTGACACGACGACACATCACATATGCTCATGCTGGCCGAGGCACCTGGCATTTCCAGCCGCAGTCATTGTAGGCGACGGGGTCGGCATTTATTCTACTGGGCAGTCAAGGCAAGGTGAGTTTTATCCCGCCTTTTCTTCTTTTTTTTTTGCTTTGACAAGTGCCGCTGCATCATTTGGTATCCAACTGAAGCATTTCCGCCATTCTCTACGACAGACGGCGGTGTTTCGTTGGCCGGTGGCGGCATGGCTGTGATGACAGTGATGATGGACACGTTGGAGGGGGCTCAGGCCCCAGACTTATCAAATCCAGTTAGGTTACGACTCTGCGAGGGTGGGGGAGAAGTACCCCACATGTTGACATCATTCTGTTCAGCGGTGTCCTTTGATTTTCTCCCGGGCCTTTTTCCGTCCGCTTTTCTTCCCATTCATCTCATTCTTCCATTTTCGTTGGATTCGAGCGCAACAACACCATTTCTGTTCCTAAAATTCGAGTTAATTTCCACCATTCTTCTCCGTCACCAAATCGATCCTCGGAAGAGGGTTTCCAGGGGATCATCTGTACGTACACATTACACTACCTTACAGTACACTATTTACCTTGCCTACGTGTAATGCGCCTGTGCCTTGGGGGTTGGTGATGGGGCCAATTCAGGCTTAGTAGGCTTCTGCTTAGCACCATCGGCGATCACACCGGGTCCGCGCCGAGAAGCAAATCTCCAAAGATCTAAAAGTCCAATTGGAGTCAAAGCTCGGGCTCCTCTTTCCCTTTTCAAAGCTCACGTTTCAATCACTGCAGCTCGAGCGAGAAGAACCCCTCATCCAAGTGCATATCGTCAATAGGCTGGTCTACGTGACTCCCTCAGTGTGCTTTTTATTCCATCTTGCACCGTGGTTCGCAAAAAAGAAAATGCCCGCTTCAGAAGCGCTGCCGTTCCTGCGCTAGATGCCCGGCACAGTGCGTTTCAAACAACACACCTTGAGCACAAGTGCTGGGTACCCAGCTCGCCCAGGTACCCCACGCAAGGTCAATCAGACTCCATCGATGCTTCTCCAGCTTGCACCGCACTTCTCCAATGCGATTGTTTCGCTTCCATTTCATTGCAACCGGTCTGATCTCATCCTCTTCCTGTTACCGTGTCGAGTCAGAATCACCGGGCCGTACTAGCAAACGCTACCCCTACGACGACCTTGATCAGTCTCGCAATACTTATTTGAGCAAACAACATCATAACCGTGGAATGGTTGTGAGATCTCTTTGCGCTTGTTTCACTTGTGGTGGATCCGTCTCTTTGAGTTCTCGGGAGCTCCATCAGATCGGGACTTGACCACACTCCGGACAGCACCGCACCACGCTCACTACGGCCCGGATTCGGTGCGGATTGCACCCTCTGCTGAATTCTTCAGTATCCAGCACCGGCCCCGTTCGGTGGCTCTGATGCGGTCTCCGAGTGGGAGACTGCCCGGGAAGGCCCCTGGCAAATGCGCTTTTTGCCCTGAGAGCCAAGCATACCAAGTGATCGGATTTGGAGCCTTTCCCATGAGTTGCCCTGGCTCCAGTCCGGGGCTGCCACTGCCCGCTGCCCGGTGCCCACTGCCCACTGCCCCGGAGATCGAAGACGATTCTTCGGATGCCCCCGTATGCCACCACCGTTCATCTTTTCCCTGCCAAGTCGTTTTGGTGTCGAGCCAAGTTCCCGTCAAGCACCACTCACACTTTCCACGCTTTGCACACTTTGCACGCAACATTTTTTTTTCCCCAAAGAAAATCAGCGCAAAAGTGGACGTGCCCCACGGTTTTTCCAACTTCGGGTTTTCCTCTTTTGACCAGCTCCAAAGCTTGGAATATTATGCGACACTAGCGGATCAAGATACTGTACCCCCTGGCTGTTCATGATTCCTAGCAGCTTCCAAGGACAGGACGCCCAATCCCCTTGCTCACGGTTGCGTTAAGGTTATCCACCATCCACACTCCCCTTTTTCCTTCTACCGGTATCTATAACCTTATACTATCTACCCGTCAACACATCCACCAACCTCGGGCATATTTAAAGAATATAGAGGATCGGTAGCCCCGAGATACCATTCCAGGTACAATCTCCACGTATAGCTCTCTATCTCAACCTCTCAACTACCTACAATTCCTCGCTCAGTCCCTTGACCTGGTCCGATCCGAGGTTCTGCCGTCTACACTACATACCTACTGTACCTGCTTCTTAGCAATAGGTACACTACCTTCAGCCCTCGACGCCAACACAGTCCACTCACTCAAAGGTCCACGGCCCCTGCTCCATCATTTTGTCACTTTTTCTTTCTTTACAGCCGCCTCTTGGACAGCACAGGTCATCTCACTCTTCTTCCCCCATACCCACTCCGGTGACCAAACCTTACTACGACCTCACAGAGGACGTTCCATCAGTCCGGCACCCACCCCCATACCACCCATACCTCCCAGGGCATCTCTCCCTATACCGCGCTAGAACCGCTTTAGAGTTGGGGCTCCTCTACGTTGGGACTAGGGCCTGCATTGCCTGCATCACTGCGCAGCACTGATCTTCGCTGGGGTCACCGGCATCTTCTCGACGCTTTATCGACTGGCCTCAAGTGCCACCACTACCACTCACACTCCCGTGTCCCCAGTCACTACACACATACACCGGCTGTCTTTGGGATCGATCCGCTTCCTCACACCTCCAGAAAGGGAACGCCAGCTCACCATTTAGCAGCTACACTAGCAGTTTCCAGCAGAAAGTCTCGGCCAGCATCATACTACATAAGTCTCTAGAGGGCACGCGCACGGGCATCGGCACCGAGCATCTCGCAGCAACAAGTCACCGATCGCACCACTCACTTATCTCCAACCACGACGGGGAAACTGAATCATCTTTGTCACCCACCACCACCCCCAGCACTCTTTACACTCACTACATCTCATTTGCTGGTGGGAATTTATTGACGCCACAGCAACCACTCAGACTGGTCGGTATCATCGCCGTTGCTGTTACGGGATCAGTTCGAAGCCGACCCGCTTGACAGGGAATCTCACAGGGAAGCCCCCCCGAACACCTCGCAGACTAATTTCTGGGCAACTAGAGGTCCTGGTCTCTCTCTTCTCTAGACCGTCCTTACAGACGCTTGCCACCTCCGCTTCGGTCATCCACTTCGACATCACGGGCAGGATCCTTCCCCAATGCGACTGCGACCCTGTTGACCAGGTCGACCTGTTGTTATCCATCCGCTCCAGTCAGCTGTCTCTCTCTCCTTGGCCAGGGGCAACATATCTATCATCTGCCACCCGCCGCGACTGCTGGGAGATGTGATCGGTCTCTTGCCTGCATTACAGACGAGTCCTCCATCTTTTACAGGGGGCTGACCTAAGCCGCTCAGGCGATTATGCTGTGGTATTTGCTCTACCCGCTAAGAGGGTTGGTTATCCTGTATTTCCTTTTCTTCTTTTCTCATCTACTCTTCTATAATCATGCTGACCTTCGGCAGGACAACCGAAGCCCCTGTGCTTCCTCCAGACCATCCTCTGCGAACCGCCTTTTCGCGGTATGGAACCTGGACTGCCCGCCATGTCAAGACGGTGCTACCCATGTCGGTAGCACTCGTCTTCCTCCTGCTTTATCCCATCTTTTTTCTCTACACGACAGACGCCACCAATGTTACCAGTGGGGTGTCTAACCTTCCTCACCACGTCTGGACTGATGCTCAGCCGCTTAGTGAACGCGCTGTCGTAGAGCCCGACGTCATCATGCGTTCCATTTGGGTGCACGGCAGCTACATGAAAGCGCTTGACCGCGAGGTTTTGCTGGGAGCTCTGGAACTGCAGAATACCCTCCTAGGGCCAACCACCGACTTCAACCCTCGTCGACCAAACGCACCTCGGATCTTGCCTGATGACCCTACGGTTGACATGACTCGGGACCAAAGGGATGCTTTCCATATTGTCAATGGGTTGACGGATCAGTCATGGTTCTTCCACTCGCCTCTACAGTACTGGGGTGGTTCTGCCGATAATATCGTTGCAGACAAGGACATCATCTCTACTGTCAACGAGAAGAAGACGCAGTCAACTTCGGTTAACGTAACCTTGCGGCACTCTATTGTGTTCAGCGGCAAGCGTTTCGAGGAACGGAGACTTGTTGCTGCCGATGCCCTGGTTATTACCTTGATTCATCTCAGGGACTGTCCCCTTGGCCAACAGTGGGTTAGAAATGCTGAAAGGCTGGCTGCCCAGGTACAAGACAAATACACCGTCATTCCGCATGACGGCAAGAGCATGGCAAGCCAGTTGTACGAGTTCCAGTTTCGACCAATGTCATGGCCTGACTGGTTTCTCTTGACCATCGCTTACTCGCTCACCCTGTTTTACCTCCTCCTCAGCCTTTCCAAGCTCCGCGCCGTCAAGTCCAGGTTTGGGCTCATGGCTACTATCCTGGCCCAGATTGCGGCTTCGATCGGCTCCAGCTTCACCGTCTGCGCCATCTTCAAGATCGACCTGTCTCGCGTCCCATACTATGCCTACCCGCTTGTGGTTCTGGCTATCAGTATGGAGAACTCTTTCCGGCTGATCAATGCCGTCATCATGACCTCTTCGTCCATTAGCATCAGCGACAGGATAGGAGAGGCCTTCGGCCAGACCGCTTATGTTGCCGTCGCCAACAGGTTGCAGAACCTGGCCATCCTCCTTGGCCTCTCCAGGATCACGTTTCCAGGTGTTGCTGCGTTCTGTACGTTTGCTGCAGTGGCCATTATCTTCGACTTCCTCTACCTCGCGACCTTCTTCCTCGCGGTTCTTAGTGTGGATGTACGCCAGCGAGAACTCTACGAGCTGGAGAAGGCTTCGGTGAGGAAAACCAATGCCATCTACGAGACCAGCTTGCTCGATCGTATCCGCCGGATTCGCCATAGCGGGGTGACCGTATCAACTCGGGTAGCTGGTACCATAGTCATCCTTGGGTTTATCCTGCTTGCACAGTCTCACTATGCGCTAGAGAGCGGTAGTCAGTGGGTTCACTGGATATTTACGAGTTCCTGGAGGGTTGCAGAACCTGTTATTAGCAAGTCCTCACTCCTGGTCGACATCCATCAAGCCAGAAGCCCCACGTCGTGGCTCCGCCTTCAGGACCATGAAACTGCGCGAGAAGTCATCAATGTTGTCAAGCCATGGGCGCACAGTTACGTTGCACGCGTGTACGAACCACTAATTTTTGTGGCAAAGGGCGCCGATCGCATTCCCCATAGTCCGGAACCTATGTTCTTGCCGGCCGTGTACGACTTCATCCACAACGAGATTCCTCGTTTCCTGGTCTTCATGTTGACGCTGGTGGCTCTGCTTCTACTTCTTACCAATTACCTCCTACAGGGCAATGGCAAGCACGCAAGTGATCCCGACCATCCTGATAACGAGCCTCTGCTGTCGGTACGCTCTCTCAGCCACGGCCATGACCTTGATGTTGTCAAGATGGCTGTTTCGCCAGGCAACAAGCTTGTTTCCGTGGGGTTGGACAGGAACATACAGATTTGGGATGTACCCCTGAACTCGCGAACCCGCGTCATGTCCGATTCTGAAACCCCTCTGGAGAATCCCTTCCCGGTCTTGGCCATGGCTATAGATGACGACTCAAAGTGGTTGGCTCTCCTGACATGGCAGAGGATTTTCCTATGGGACACTGATGAACAACAGTGGGGATTGTCGCTCGAGGTTGACCTAGGTGGTCACAAGCCCGAAGCCGTGTTTTTCAACTACGCGAACAAACCTTTGGATTCGCCGTCTCTTGTCATCGTGAGGAAGAACGGCACGATGCTTGAGCTGGACCTTGAGGACGGGGCATCTAAGGAGTTTACCATCTGCAAGACTCCTTTTTCCATGGCGCTGCCATTTGCAGAGCTCAGTAAGTCTAGCACTTTCATTTTTATTATTTTTATTATTTTTTATTTTATTTTTGGAAACAGAACATTTTCTGACAACTTCATGAATTAGCCTCTCAAAATCAACTCAGCCAATCGCTTTCCATCTTGACACTTTCACGTAAGAGCTGCATCCACGTAGTGAGGCAGCAACCTGGCGGGTGGATTCCAAGGAAGCAAAGATCACGACAGGCGAGGCAAAGGACATTCACTCCATCGTCCCTGCACCTGACCTGTCCATGTATCTCATCTGCAGATCCCGCTCTGTCGACCTGGTCGATCTCGAATCCTCGGCTGTCATCCAGACCTTCAACACCGAACCCATGGAGCCACGGTCACTGAAGCTTCTACTCTCCTCTCGTGGGGCTCCGCAGCACGGGCTGCCGCCACTGTCGCTGTGCTACATCAGCTCAGAGACGGGCGATCTCGTGATTCAGACCTTCCACCGAGCAGACGAGGCCGACCCCGTGCATCATCCCAAGGACCATGTGCCCGAAGCGCCTCGTCAGCCATGGGATGAGGAGAAGGAAGTGAAGAAGCGGATCGAGAACCCAGGTCGCTGGGAGATACTCCCCAACGGAGGTATCGTAGGTGTCAGACGGGTACCTGTGGCATCATCGTCGTCGTTACGGCGTAGAAGCTTCCAGGCGATGTCATCAGGAGTCGGAGTCGGAAGTGGTTTGCGACGACGTGGAGGAGCAGCAGCAACAACAAACAACAGCACAGCTGATTCCACTGACTCCACAACTCCCGACATAGGCACGGCGACATGGCAGGCCTGGGCCTTCAACAATCTCGAAAGTGCCAGGACGAAAGGGATCGAGACCCAGCCGCTTGATCAACAAGTAGACGACGAGGAGGAGCAGGATACCAGCATGTATGATAACTTGCTGGTGTCAGAGCTGGGACCCATGGTGAGACTAGGCACCGCGAGTGTGGCGGTGGGGCTTGGAAACGTGATCAAGGTGATCAGTGTTGGACACGAGCATTTTGATAAGGTGGTCACGAGGGACCGGTTGACGGCGGAGAACTTGAGGAATCAAAACTTTGTTAGACGGAGGAAGACAGGGGTGGCGGCGCATAGAGCGAGGGGAGGGGTGGCTGCTGGTGCTGGTGCTGGTGGTATTTGATTGTAGAGAATTACTAGGATAGAGTTGGAGTAGCGGGAATGGGGTCATCGACATAAAGTAGAAATACCATTATGCTATTTTGGTGTTTTGAGTTTGCAAACTGCTCCTGTTCCTGTTGATTGCTTCAGCACGTGCTAGGGTGTTCACTATGGCTTCACCAAGTAGGAACAGCTTACGTTATGCGTAGGTACACTGTATCTGCTAAAGATACATTGCTATTGTTTTTCTTGATAAAGTGCTGTCAGAATCGTCGAGGTGTTGTCTTTCATCCCATACCTAAACCACTTTTCGTTGTCATCCGATAATAGAACCCCTATAGAAAAAGGCGACAATAGCAAACAAGTTGCTGAAGCGGACTATGACAATAGGATGGTGCGCGCAGCTCTCCGTTCCCTATCCACTTATGCTTGGTGGTGAAGCAGGGTCCGGCAGCGGCAACGTTTCGGCGCTCCAGCTGTCAGGGGGGCGGACGGATGATGCCAAGCGAGGAAGGGCCCCGGCCAATGGAAATCCACCCACAACCCAGGCGGGCAGCGTCCACGCCACGGCAGCAAGGGCCAGCACCAGCAGTGACCAGGTCCAGCTGAGGTCTAGGACCCCATTTCTTTTGACAAGTTTCCCTGCCTTGCCTGCCCTGCGCCTGCAAGAACACAACGTCAAAGAAACCACCAAGCCTGTGTGTTTGTTGTACCCACCCCGACAACAACCACGTAATTCCACTTCCACTTCCGTCTTCCACTTCTCCCTTCTCTCCTTTACAACGAGCAGCTCAACCACAACATACTTTCTTCTTCTGTTATCGCAACCATCACCTATACCCGCGACTCAGCCCATTGACCGTCATAACCGTCAACTGCATTTCAGAAAATACTCTTAGCTATCAACCACAGGTGCAAACGGCGCCGCCGACCAGCAATCCACAATGTCGGACTACAACAGCATGAAGGTCCCCGAGCTCAAGAAGCTTCTCAATGAGCGCTCCTTGCCCCAGACCGGTAACAAGGCCGATTTGATCGCTCGTCTTCAGGAGCACGACAACAAGCAGGCGAAGCCCACCGATGCCCCAGCTGGTCAGTTTCCCCGATTCGATGATCATTGTCCCTCTCCCTGGCTACGAGAACAAAGTCTGTCACGTCGCCCTGCCATCACGCACGCGTTTCAAGCTTTCACACTTAGACCCCACGATCGCTACCATGCCATTGGCGTTTGGCCAATGCCCATCATTTGAGGAGCTGGTGGTTCTGTGTAACCTGGACCGCTTCCAACGCGCAATTCACCCACAACTCACCTTGCCACCAACGTCATCATTACATTCGGGGGAACACCAGTCACTAACATTTCACTTTGAATTCAGCCACCACCAAGAAGGACGGCGAGGCCGAGGATGAAATTGACTACGAGGATGATGACTTCCCCGCCGGCGACAAGAAGGCTGCCGCCACCGAGAACACAGAGGAGAAGCCCACCGCCGCTGAGACCACTACAGAGTCAGAGCGCAAGGCCCCAGTAGAATCCGAGGAGAACAAGACAACAGAAGCTGCCGCCCCCGCTACTGCCAGCACAGAAGAGCCCGCCGCCGCATCCACCGAGGAGGCCGCCAAGGACACTGCCACCGACACCGCTACCGCTACTGCCAACGAAGAGCCCAAAGAAGAGGAGAAGCCCGCCGAGCCTCTTTTCTCCCAACACCTCCCGCCCACCGACGCCAAGTCTGAAGCCGAGAAGCGCGCCGCCCGCGCCGCCCGCTTCGGCATCACAAAAGACGAGAAGTCGGAGGAAGCCGTGAAGGCTGCGCGCGCCGCCCGCTTCGGCCTGGCTAATGACCAGGTGTCAGCTATCGACAGCGCTTTGCCCGACAGGCCGCGCAAGCGTGGCCGTGGCGGCAAGGAGGAAGGTGGTGAGGAGGAAGTCGCCGGTGGTGAGAGGGCAGCTAAGGTTCAGAAGACTGCTGCTAGTCCTTCTCAAGAGAACAAGGGCGGTAATAACCAGAGACAAGGTGGTGGAAGGAACAGACACGGGAGGAATAGGGGCGGTAACAACAACAACAACAACAACAACAATGGCGGGGGCCGTGGTGGACAAAGTCAAAACAACAACGGCAGGCAACAAGGGAACCAGCAACCCAAGCAGCAGCAACAGCAGCAACAGAAAAAGCCTGCTGCTGCTCTTGACCCAGCGGAAAAGGCCAAGCTGGAGGCTAGAGCTAAGCGCTTTGCTGCCGCGTCCTCTTAAGTTCAATTTGACGGTAGGCAGGATATTTAATAGCTTCTTCGATCGGATAGCGTGATAGGGCGGTCAAGCCTGTAGCTCAATATTTTTTTTCTTCTGTTTTGGCCCTCTCTCTCTTTTTAACGAGTAAAAGTTTGGATGCGGGGGCTATTTGATATTTGATCCCTTATGAGATATGTACGGCAAAGAGGGAGGATAAGAGAGACAAAGTCATGAAGAGAATCAAGCCCCAGCTCAGCTCGGCTCAACTGAGTTTAGGTTTCCAAAAACTTGCTTTGTTTGCTTGCTTTCCACCAGAAGAGTGTACGTTTGGCGTTTCGGGCGGCGGACATGAAGAGGGTAGGGTTAATAATTTCTCTAGGTTAGATTACTGCTTTCCTATCCAGTCATCTGCTTCATTATACACTAGGTACATATCTACATCTACATCTATGTTGGATGATGTTCTTCGTCGGATGTGCAGTGGTGTTACACTACATTGATACTCTACCTTATTTCTCATATTGCACAAGTGAAAGCGTTAGTAGAGGTACTATTGTGAACTGAACGGATATCGTAACTGTCATGGTAACTGTCATAAAAATACACATGGGGTAAGTACGAACTACAAAGGCCCTGCTTATTCTCAGGTAAGTTTGCGTCCAAAGTCCCAAGTCCCAAGTTCCAAGTTCCGAGGTTCCTGTCGTTTATTTCACTACATCTCTGTGTTCATATAAGTCTAAGTATTCAAAGCATTCAGACAACAGCAAACACCTCACCACGGTTAGATCACAGAACCTCTCTCTCTCTCATCGGTTTTGTCACAACTGTGCCTACTATCGCCTTATTCGGAAATTCAGCTGGAAGTTTTCGTCATATGCTGCTGGAATGAATGTGTGCACCTACTTGCTACCATATCTTTATGTGAGATATACACAATACTGAGCGGGCATCATTTTTATCATGACATGTATATACATACATGCATGGCCCCCTCGTGTCTTTCGCACGAGTCAATCAAACTCCAAACTCACACGCACTAGGTACTCTAGATAGTTTCATCAGACTTGATGTGAATATGTTAGGTAGGTAAGGAGAGTCAGTGGGACGGACAGAACGCGGACAACATAAACATAACAAGATGGAATGAACGGGATACGGTCGGTCGATGAGCATGGCTACAGTTGCTACCTTATGTCACCGTCTGGCTCACGTCCACGTTATACTATCTTGAGGTTACCGGAGTCTTCCACACATAAACAAAATGGACAAAAGCTACAAAGCTTGCATATGAACAAAAAACTCAGCAGTGCGCAGGTAGACTGCATGCATGCAGCTGATGCTCAGAGAAAAAACCCGTTGTTCATGCGCAGAAACTGGAGCAGGTTCGTGCTAATAATAGAAGTATTGGCACTTCAAAATGTAAAACGCCCGACAGGAATCTCTTACTGTTGTATTCCTGCCTACCTCTAGGTTAGGAGAATCAGAAGGTTCATCAAGTTCCTTTCCTTTTCACTAAGATAGGTAAGGCTGTGGTCATTTCTAGCATTTAGAGTGAGTTTCTAGACACTAGAGTTATAGTCTCGCAGGGCCAGGAAGGCCAGTCTCTCACACCGACGTGTAGCAGCTACTGACTTTATGTGTAGGTATCTACCTGTCTACATACTTCACCGTTTCTTTAGATTTGTTTTACGAGATACCCCAAAGGCAGCGGACGTGGGTTAGGTATTTATTCTGCTAATTAGGTATGACGTAAAGTTGGAAGCAGAGGTAAACAGCTCTCTCACATCGCATCCGATTCTCTTAGACCAATCTATACCTGATAATGGGACGAATGATAGCCGTCGATATTACGAACTTACATACTCACTCCCTACTTTTGCCAATATAGATTTCGACAAAGACACCCAAATAGTCGAGTCGTATGACCAATGATATAGATGCTTCTTGAGTGTAGGTTACGTACGTATTTGAGCGGCGGCGGCGGTATATCTCGCGAGCAGTTGTGTTGTGTTCTGGTATAACCACCTCATCAATGGCCAAGGTAGTAAAAAAACAAAGATCACGAAAAAAAAAAAGGAATCAACCCCGTCCATCTCTCCATTCATGCGTCCATCCGATAGCCAACCTTCCAACCCATTCAACACCTAAACCAACTTAAAAAGCATAGATGAGATGAGTGAGGTCCGAATTTTAGTTTGGAAAAAGCCATCACTATCGCTAAATGCTCCATGCAACCAACCCCCTTGGCCTAATCACCCTGAATGGCTGACACTGACTACCTCTACCACCGATTTGAATGAAGTAAGTGCAAATTTGCAAACCTCCCAATGTGCTGGTTGATGATGAGAAAAGGAAAACAGAAAAGAAAGGAAAAAGGAAGGAAAGAAAGGCAACCTGTAACACCTTGACTCCTACATGCCTATCTGTTTGTGTGTTGATTGATCGCTCGTTTTTCACTTACTCACCATGACAATGACCTCCATGCATCCCGCACTCAAGTGACTTTTGTCTGTGTCTGGATACCCTTTTTTATAGACCGATGATACAAGGTTGAGAGCCAACTTCCTTTGCCGGCGCTAGTTTCCCTTGCTTGAGTGTGTCTCGTCTCGTCTGCCTTGTCTGTAATGATGAGCGGTATGCTTTCTGGTTCCTTGTTCCAGGATATGTTATTTCCTCCGTCTCAGTCCCTATCCCTGTCCAAGGGACGCTCATGATAATGGGCACCTGTGCCTTGTGATGAGTTGCTGCGGCACCAGCGCGCATTGTGTGGGCTTTCCTCCCATCCCGGTTTTCAGCCGTTTAGCTTGAGTCCCTTGCACTTCTTGTGCTGTCACTCCTATCACGTCCAGCGCCTTGTCGAACGGCATCCTGATAGCTCGGAATTGGGGGGCTCGACGGCCTATGAGAACCTGCCCTTGGCCTGGTGTTGCTTCCACCGCTCGGAATTGGCCTTGTTGTGGCCGACGAGGCACCTCGACTCCTGCCACTGAGTTGGATGAGAGGAGTGTTTTCGCTATCAGAGCTGTTCCTCCTGCTTCCCGGTCGAGAGTTGGCAGGGCTGGTATACTCGGGAGGTGGCTGATCCGGATTGAGGAATCCACCACCACTTATAGGCTGCCCATCTTGATTGACCAACGCTGCAGCGCTACTGCTAGGTTCGCCTGCATCCTCAGTGGGTACCAAATGAGCAAGCGAGATATCTGTCGGGCTGCGAACGGGTCCGGGGCTCGTCGGTGGGAACATTCGGAAGTTGCCTGATCGTGTGCGGTTATGACCAGAGTCGGCTCCAGCCAATCCTTGCCTAGAATAAGTCTGTACGGGATGGCTATACCCGCGACCACGCCCAACTGTGCTGGTGAACCCATCCTTGGTGCCGGCCTCGAGGAGAATGCTCCCTTGCTCCGAACCATATGGCGGTGGCGGTGCGAGCGACCCAGTCATGGGAGCGAGACCCCACTTTTTAACATTGGCTTCGATGAAGACAAAGCCAGCTTGACCAAAGTTGACATGAACAATGCAGGGTCCGTTCGCGCCGATCGAGGGGAAGAAGTTTTGCGACTTCAGGCCGTGTACCACATCCTCCAACTTCTTTCCGTTTCGAGTAAAGAAAACCGTGCCACTTCGGGGGCGGTAACCGACACCAATAACATCGCCTTGAACGACTTGAGGACCGTAAGAAGTAGCGTTGAAGGGTTGGTTGTAGCGACGGGTTCCGTTGGATAGATACGCGACAGAGTACTTGTGAAAGCCTGGAAGGCTGGTTAGTCATTACATCCGTGGAAAACAGCGACTGATGTGTACGAACCAGGAAGCCTGAACAGAGGATACGGCTTGGTAGCCATTCCTATGCTGATCAACGTGTTGTCCGGCTTATCGTAAATCTTGGCCTCCCAGTAGTAAACCTCATTCTGCTTCGGTACCGGCAGGTTGCTCATGACGGTGCATTCAGAATCGAAGAACTCGATCTCGGTGCGGGCCTCGACAAAGCAGTTGGCGATTTCTAGCTCCGGCTCAAACTCCCAGGCCGCCACCCCCTTCTCCTGTATGGCAAGATATTGGGAAAGCGAGATGTCTGTCTGCAGGGACTCGGGTGGGTTGGCAGCGATAAAGGCTAAAGACACAAACCGCATTAGCAACACTTCTCCGGATGTGACAAAAAGCCGATAGATAGCTAACAGCCGCCGTCCTTACCTTTTGCCCTCAAGTATTCTGTCCGTTGCATATCATCCATCGTCTCGAGGGCCTCGGTCTCCTCCCGCAAGAACTGTTGTTCGTCATCGTATTCGCCCGGTCGACCAATGCGGTCGAGGAAGATGCGCCCTGATGTTGTGTAGCGGAAGAAGTAGAAGATAAGGAAGAAGCAACCGATCAGTATCGCCGACCCGAAGGACGATAACAGACCGATGATGATGCCGTTCATCCCGGGAGAGTAATCTGGCATTATTATCATGAAGACGGCGGTCTAAATGTGTTGGGAACGAGAGGTCCGTCGTATGGTCGTCGTCTCTCGAACAAGAAGTGTTGGAGTTGGTCGTCTACTCTACGCTGAGTATTCGGACAACGGCCGACTGACGTTGGCGTCACCGCCAAGCCTTGAGCATCCGTGACTGCCTGGTCGTTCGTTGATCCTCACGGCGCTTCCACGACAATGGCAAGCCCGGCAGATATTCAAAGAGTGGGTGGGAGGTTGAACGCGATCGCAACCAGCGACGGGAGACGAAGCAGCTGGGGCAAACGTTCGAGTCGAGGGAAGATGCAGGGTGAAAAAGGAACGTCGGGGATGGTTGGGTTGTTGTCGGCAAAACCTGAAGCGTCTTGGATGCGGAGAAGAAGGCGAGTTGGGCGTCGGTTTGGCTTATGGTGGTTATCGCTGTGGGTAGGTGGATATCCGTCTTAGTTGGCAGCGCAAGCTAGGCAGACTATCCTCGCAGTCGCAGTGGTGCGTTCGATCCGAAACGAGAGCCGGCGAAGGGAAACCTGACCTTGTTAGGTGGACGAGTGGAGGGCTCAGCACCGTACAGGACGACCTGGATGGTTGCAGGTCACCAAGCAGGCAGAGCTGGGGGGCTACGGTCTTGGGAGCCCAGGGCGGATGGCGGCTTGTGTTGATTGATGTTAGCGCGCGATGAGGTGGGCAACCGAAACCAGTCAAATGGGCAATGCCTCGGGAGGATGCTCGGCCTAGCGATGTGAGGCGATGAAAATAATTAGAAGAAGAGGTGAGAGGTGAGACAGTTTACTGCAGCAGAGGTACGATCAGAGGTCATGAGGTGATAGGATAAGAGGGAAGAAAGACAAGATGATGGATGGTCCGGGCAAGGCCAACGCTCAGAGCGCCCAGCGTCTAGCGAAGTGCCCAGTGCATGGGGAAGCGTGCTTTTCTTGGTCCCTGAAGGTCAGCATGCTTGGACGACACCATGATTACAGAGAATCTCTGTTTGGACACTAACTGAATCAAGCCATTTGAGCAGTAGCCCAAGTTAATGCAGTATCAGGTGGCGGGGAAAGGATCCTGCCTATTTCGTCTGAAAGTGGGCCGCAGAGTTTCAACAAGTGGCGGAGAGCCCAGATGACGCTCACGACAGGAACGACGGAACGTTGGATTGCTGAGGTGGAAACCCCTCCGCCCTACAACACTGCAGTGGTTCCGTCAACCATGAAATTCTTACAGTGGGAGTCTGGCCTACCTAGATCTACATCACAACTTTTCTATCGGCCAGAGGAAGAAGCATCAAGAATCTTGACCAAAGGAGGAACCCATACCTTGATCAGTAAACATTACTTACCTTAGCTTCTCCGATCCTTCACAGCGTGACAGCAGCGCATAACAACAGCAGACTATTCTAGGAACAATGTTACAGTACGTGGGACATGATGGGGCACACCAAGGGTCCTGCTGGCCGCAGCACCGTTTCGAATGGCGCAGTTGACGGCTATCTAGGCTTCAAGGTTCTTTGACGATCATGCCGGAGATTACAGATGGGATAGAATGCCCGTAATAGCCATTCTTATATGTCTAAACAATGCATCGGTCTTCAAGTCAACAACGCCTTCGAATACTTCATGGCGCGTGGCTCGAAACTGAAGTGAAAACATCGAACCTCGGCGCAAAAGTTAACCACCGTGACGACTTCGACACCGTACTAGCAAAGGGTTACCTATCAATTAACGACCACTGATATAGAGATCGACCAGGGGATTCCGCTCGCTTTCAAGCCAGTGTCGTCATCCTTACGTTTTCCTGGGATCGCGGAAATCAGCACTGCATTATTGCTGCTCGAGCTGCTTCTCACATGCAAATTGACGAGACTTCAAAGTTGAATGAAACTGCCCGAAATGGCTTTCCGGGGTGCTCTTCCGGACGGGACCCCTGGATCTCCGTCAGTCACCCGGCGCATCCGGAGCATCTCCGAGACCCTCCGTGCGCCCCGGACGTATCTTATGTAATAACATTTTCACTCTTAAACATGCTGTCCGCTTGGAACATCAGAAGGCAAGGAAGTTTTTCTTTCTTTTTTCTTTTCTTTTTTTCTTACATTACTTGTGAATTCTCATTTACATCAGCTAGCTACGTTTGAAATATATCAAACAGTTATTTGCTCCGAGTATAGAAAACATAAGGAAAAGAACGCCCGCCTGCTTGTGCCCGAGCTAGGTATTTATGAGGCAAAGAAAAAACGACAAAGAAGTGGTTTTTGTTCGTCGAGAACTCGTGCAGACATTATATCTCTCTTCTTCCGCTCACCATCTCATGTATCAGACCCGTCATGAGTGTGATACATTGCTTTCCATCCATCGGTCTCTCTCGTTTCCAATCGTCGTCATGATCATCAAAACTCCTACCATAGTCATGCGTCCTTTTAGTAACCGCCAACGCTGCTATCCCCATCACCGTCCCTACGATGATGCTTCCTGTATCCAGCACCGTTTCTCTTCTTCCTCCTCTCCTCCGCATATGACACCTCGCTTCCCACCGAGCTCTCCGCGCCGCTGACGGGGATGTGAACCGGGTGCTTGTAGACCTTGTGGCCGCTGACCTCGCTCTCCGTCATCAAGTCGCTCTCCGTTCCCGTGTAGCTCGACGGGACCAAGGCGCGTGATGTACGCAGCGGCGGGACTTCGTCGAGCTCGTCATAGTCGTTGTTGTTCACCCGTGCGTACTTCCCATTGCCGCCGCTGCCCGTGGCGACAACACCCTCCTCGTGCTCTTGGACATCATCCAGGACACTCTCGCCCCGCTCGTCGATGCGGCGCAGCGCAATGGAAGATTCGTCGTCCACTCCGTGCTGCCAGCTAAAGTCCCGTTTCGACGAGCGCTGTTCGCGCTCACGCTGCCCGGCCGCTGCAGCCGCACGATCCCGTTCCCGCAGACGGCGCGCCTCGGCCCGCAACCGCTCGGCTTCGCGGCTGGCGTTCTTGTCGGCTGTCGAGTACACCTTGCGGATGCCGCCCGTCTTCTTCTCTTTCTCGCGCTCTCTATCAGGGTTACGGTCACGGTCACGGTCACGGCCAAGCTCGCGATCACGCTCACGCTCACGCTCACGCTCACGCTCACGCTCACGCTGCTCGCGTCTCTCCCTACGCTCCGCCTCCTTCCTGGCTGCGCGCTCCTCATCCCGTTCCTTCTTGCTAGGGCTCCGCTCGCGCTTCTCCTGGTGCTGGATCAACCCCTCCGTGACGGTGCTGCCGCTATCAACAGTCGAAGTACCCACACCGCTCCAGCTGGGGTTAGTCGAGCCGTCCCACTCGCTCGCCTCGCTAGCGACGTTGATGCCACCAACGCGGGCGGGTTTCTCGGACCGGTAGTTGCGCAGCTGTTCCTGGGCCATGGCCTCGGCCTCCTCATCGACCATGATGCCATCGGCGCCGACCTTGCGCTTGCTCCGCTTCTTCTCTTCCTTCTCGCGTGCCTTCTCCTCGCGCCGGCGTTCCTTATCGCGCTCCTTTTGCTCGCGCTTCTTGCGCCGCTTCTCGCGCCCGTAGATGTCGGACACGCCGCCCGTGATGCCTGTGATGCCCGTAGTGCCGGATACGACTGTGGTGTTGTCCATCTCCGTCATGCCGTCGTAATCCTTGTACACGCTGCCGCCGCCGAGAATGGTGCTGGGGGTGGCATTCGAATAAATGGTGCCGTTGGGACCCTTGCGGCGCAGCACTGTCGACTTGTAGTCATCCCAATCGTCCTCCCTGAAGTAGAAGCCACCGTTCTTGGCCCAGAAGAAGAACCAGACGGCACCGATGACGATGGCGGCGCCAAGAATGCCGAAGAGCGCGAACATGGCGTTGTTGTTGATCTCCTGCGGGTGCACGAGTCCCTGCTCTGGGTCGGGACGGTCCTTCTCTTTGTTGTCGTCATCGCGGGCGAGAAGGATGGCGCGCGCTGCCAGAGGACCGAGAGCTGCGATGTCTTTGCCGCTCACGACAAGGCGACGGGCCATGAGGGCGCGAAGTACGGGTGCCATGGTTGCGGTTTGGCGTCCGCCGTTTGGTGGCAGGGACGGAAGCCCAAACTTGGGTGAAGAGCTGGCCAACCAGCCAAGCTGAAGAGAAGGTGAGCTTTAGTCGATCGGTGTGATGGGTTTAACGCGCTGTGTAGCTAATGCGTGCGGTGAAGCTAGCTTCTGAAGAGGTCCAGCTGCTGGAATGGAAGGGTTCGATGGAAGAAAGGTCCAAATGCTTGCAGGACTGCGAAGCGGTGGAGGTTGCTTTGGGGAAGAATGCAGGTCGACGTGCTGCAGGCGTTGGCGTAGCCGTAAGCGTTCAAGTCTGTCTCTCTGGGCAGTGTTTTGGCGCTTGGGGGGGACCTGAGAATGTTGTTCACCCAGAAACTGGGGGGCTGGGAAAGGACCGGGGCTGGGCAACTGGGCCAGGGCAGGGGTGGCTCAGTTCTGTTCGTTGACTGAACGGCCTCCTGGTTGGCTGCCCGGTGATCGTCAGGTCGTAAACTTGAATTCGGTTGGCTGGGGACCACGCAAAAGGCAGGCAGGCACGTCTGGCAGGTTTGGCAGAACAGCCCACCCATCCGTGCCATCCATCATCTTTCCAATTCTCTCCCGTTCGTTTTGCGAATCATGATTCATCTTTCCCGCTTCGTTGCCGTGACTTCTGTTTCATAATTACCGGCTGTCACCGCGTTCACGGCTTGTAAACATGAAATGCTATGACGTCGTTACAGGTATCCCAAGAACTTCGTGGGGTGAACAGCCAAAGGCTTGGCAGTTTCAGTGTTTCAGCTTTCAACCGAACTGTGTTAAAGTGGAGCATCCACATTGTGGAGTTGGTGCCACTGCCGTACAGTTGGGATGAAAGAGTTTTGGCACTGGGCTCTTATCGCGATCACTTACACGGTTCAACGTGTTCCTGAATCCGTTCCATGTTGAACTTGAAGACACTCAAAAAGCTCAGAGCTATTGAAGATCTAACCAGCTATATTCGAAGCTGGCTCAGAGTTTGCACCTATTATCTCTCTGGTCAAAGTGAGAATATTGAACACTTGATGGAGAGCCTCTGTTAAGAAGTCACGAATTCGGCAATGAACACACACTCGTCCTCCAGGTAGCAGTGTTGGTGTGTGTTGGCATGATAGCAAATCATCAACACACAATGGGAGGGGGTGGCAAGGACACTGGAAAGATAATCACAACTGCTTAGTGAGGAGTCAATAGAACTGTTTAAGAACCCGAGAAACGTCTTCATATGGGTGATCGACAATGATGGCCGTGGGAGCTGTCGGAGTGGTAATATTGACCATAGGTAATGGATCAACAAGAGAAGGATATAATACTTCGATATGATGTGGGATGAGGCAAGCGACCACAGTAATAAGAATGTAGGAGTGTAGATAGGTATTTCTAGCCGGCCGCCGCCTGTCCGATCCCATGCAAACTGTTCATCTGTTTTGATATTATCTTGAGATCTGCCACCACCACCACCACCACCACTAGTCCTTCCTTAACGAACCAGAAGTGAACCGAGATTTTGATCATCAAGCAGAGTCGAAAACACAGGGAGAAAATTCAGAAATGGTAATGTCGTGCTTAAAAGATTTTATTTGCCATGCCAGATAATGGGTATCGTGTCTCCAAAGCTTTTCCCAGGTTCCATCAGACAGTGACTTCCAGCAAGACTAAAAACCGCCAACCAAGAAAAGAAGAAATCGCAGTACATAGATCCAAACTGAGGAGCAAGTTGAAGAAGGTATTATGCCAAAAAAAAATATAAAAAATAAGAGGGAAAAATTTGCCATCGCTAAACAAAAAGGAAATTCATAAAACATGATACATAGTCGTGTTCTTGCTCGTTCTTCTTTTCTCTTTATCATCGTCATTTCATCGTCTCATTATCTCATATTCATCAGATCCAAAACATGAGAAAACATCAGTCGTAAGCTTCGTACATGACCCAGTCATCTATCAGTAGCGATACGTCGGAGGATCCTGTGGGTACTCAGGATAGGCCGGGATGTAGTCGTAATCGGTGCCATCGACATCGCGACCGGCGTAATGCATCGATCTTGGGCGTGACCTCGCCCGCGAGGCCGCGCGAGCCCTGGTCTGAGATCGCTCAGCCCGAGGACGACGTTCTTCATAATGCTGCTGACGTCCATCCTCAATGTACCGAGGCTGGCGCTCATCAAAGTCTTCTTCGTAATCATGGTATGCCTTCTCGCTCCCGTTTCGTCCAGAGGTGATGGCGTTTCTTGAGATGTTGATCTCGGCTCCATTAGAGCACTTTAGCTTTGCTCCGTTTACTTCGAGTACGGCACCCCTGCCCTTCATCACCCGAATGGTGACGTCCTCAGGCGGCATGCCACTTGACCGCGTGGTGCGTGTTGATGCCGAGTGCCTGTAATCGCTCTCATCACGACTCTCTTCCGAGCTCTTTGTGGAACGACTGCTTCCGCCGTTTCTTTGGGCCCTGCGGAGACTTTCAGCCGTAAGCGGCATCGTATCACCACCAATGGTCTCGGTCTGGTACTGAGCGGCTTGCCGGATTTTCTCCTCGTACCCGTTCCCACGGGCAGCACTTGGTTGTAGTACTGCTCCATAATACGAGTGCCGCCGGTTATGGCGAGTGGCTACTTCCATCCTAGAATCCGGGTCTTCGTATGTTCCCGCGCTGACACTGGGTCGCCGCTGGTGCCTTGGTCTTGACTTGGAACGCGCTCGGCTTGGGGCAGGAGCAGGGGCCTGATATTCGTAAGGAGTTGGCGAAAGGGCGAACAACGCACCCGCCGCCTGGTCTTCGTCGGCATATCGTGAAGCTCGTCTGCCTGGTGTTGCCGGTGCTGGCGGTGGCCTGTGCGGGGTGGCGGACGGGTGAGCAGTAGAAGACCTGACCGGAGGAGGCATTCTTCGGGCATCTTCGTCCCTCGACGGCTTCCTGTGAGAGAGAGAGGGTCGCGGCATCGGTTTCTCGGGCTCTTCGTCGAAATCTGCCTCCCCATATTCAAGGGCGCGGGAGGTACGATAAGCCATGGCGGTTCGGGGGCGGCTCGGGCTAGTTCCAAGGCTAAGAGCAGCGAGTTGGGCATCCAGGCGTGGATCGACGGGTTGTGCAGAGAAGTAGTCCGTAGGCTGTCGACTCAGCGAGCCAGGCGTTGGGGTCGGGAATGGCTGCATGGATCCCGGTCCAGCCCATGTTGGCGGACCAGTTGGATAGGATGGAGGCATGAATTGCGGAGGATGAAGCGGGGGCCCAGGCGCAGTATAGCGAGCAGAAGGCGGAGGTGGTCGTGTTGGGCCCGTCCCGTAATAACTACCGGGCCGGGGAGCGGACGTCTGAGGGCGAGGTGGTCGAGAGGAGGATGTTGTCATAGTAGGGCTCACGCCGTAATAGGAAGCCTCGTTATCTCTTCCGGTCCTCTGGGACTCTCCCCGTCTGGGAAGATCACCAGCGGTGTTGGCATGTCGTGGAACGGGGCGTGAGGACGACATGTTTGATCTTTTGGTGCCGTGTGTCGATTTCTCGCGCTCTCTTCGCGGTGTCTTGAACGATTCACTTCTGCGGGGCTGTCGCGTCGAGTCGGAGTCAGGTTGGCCGTTCGTCACTATGGGTGACGAGTCTGACTTCTTGTGCTCTTTTCGTGGTCGGCCGGAGCTCGAGTTGTCCTTGGAGCCAACAGAGGCAGCGTAGCGGGAGGTTCCCTGAATGATATTTCCGTCGTCGTCGGCGTCTTCCACAGACGCAATTCTTGAACGGGTCGAACTCATTGGGAACGAGCAACAGCTCGAGAGTCGGTATTTAGGCCACTCGGGGAGATGGACCAAGGCAACTAAGCCTCAAGGCGGAGGCGGGCCGCAGTCAGGATATCCAGTCGCTAATGTAGGGACAGCGAGGTTAGCTTATGCTCGCGCAGTGGATGCCGACCCCAACGACAACATCAAATGACACAGTGAGTTGGGACGAAACGCACGAACCTAAGAGCGGGGGTGGTCCTGAAGCGATAACCAATTGGTGCAGGACAGGAACAGCAAGGGTGAATGAAGTGGAGACTTGAAGCGTCGGGAATCTGGGATGGAGTTAGGGCCGTTTCGTCTGATGTTCCATCAAGCGCTTGCTGTTGTTAAGTGCAGTGTTTGCTTTAAAAGAGCCGACTGTGGTGTTTCGTCGCGGTGGATTATGCCCGGTAGAAATCCAAGGAGGGGATGTCGCGGAGAGAACTGCTAAGCAACGGGAAATATTAGGAAAAAAATGTAATGGAGGAACGTGGCTGAGTGGGCAGCGACGAGTTTTATTGACTGCGGGGGTGTTAGGTAGCCTCTGTGCCTCTGACACTTTGGTCCGACTGAGGACAGGCCTGACGGGACTGGAGGGGTGCGTTCCTGCCTGCTGTGTAGCTGGGTGCTTGAATATTTCCTAGTGTAACACAATCCGCCCCTCTCAGGCTGCCATCCAGGTCTGTCTGAGCTGGGGCGGGAATCCCAGAACCGGCGACACCTCAGATGGAAAAGAAGGGAGGGGGTTGGAGGGGGGGGTGAGTGATTGTGTGTGTGCGAGTGGTTGACACAGAAACACCGCCCGCCTAAAACACTCACACTTGTATCGATAATGCAGAAATGGCGTTACCAACGGTGCTCCGGAAAAAAGCAGCTTGCCGGGACGGTAAGTGACCGGACAACAGCAGGGCTGACATTACCAGCGATTTCGCTTATCTCGATCGTTCCGGACACAGCTCCGCTGGAATTTCTCTGATCTCCGTCTACTTTTCAGTCCCTCTTGTGACTTCTGTTATTGACGCTGACAAAAGAGTCGAGGCTGAACCTCATGTCCGCTTCGATGAGTCGATGCCGAAAGATACCACGGCTGGGCGTTGTTCGGGTATCGTACCGTACAGTACGCTACTGTATGACAGGGTGTGCCTCGTGGACTCGTGGATTGTGTGCTGGAGACTGGTGGATCCCGTCCTCTGTTGTTGATCCCGTTGTGGGGGAGCCTGGGGGAGATGCTCCAGATAGTGGATCGTGGTCAACCACAACCTAAACCCTTGCGCTAAGGTGATGATCGATAATCCCACGACACTTCCGAGAATCACCTCATGCGAGTGCTCATATTCAACCCTCCAAGAGATGAGGCGACCGAAAAAGCAGACAGAAGGCCGAAAGTGAGAAACTTGAAGGGATTTTGTCCAGTCCCGGAATCCAGCGATGATCTTCACGCGGATGAGCAAATCGCTGCTATAAATCTTTTGGAGTAAGCCTGCAGGTTTCGGGCTGTCTTTGCAAGTTTCAATGTTGGGAATTAACGGGTGAACGGTTTATTGTTACATGAGGCTTCACTCTCCAAAGGGGTGTGGTGGGTAGACGAGTTTGAGGTTGCTCCTCCTTGAAGGAGGGTACAGTTTGGGCAATGACCCGAATGACGGGAGTGAAGAGAGGGGGCTGGTGGGTGGTTGCTCTGCGCCGATGAGAACAAGAAATTAAGCGCAAAGGGAGGGGGAAAAAAAGCAAGCAGAAGAAAAAAGAGGAAAATGCGTAACGATCTCGACAATATCCCGGCATGATGGGATAGGCAGGCTGTATAAAACATGGAGACATGATGTGCCACTCACTACAGTCCTGCTGTTGTCTTGATTATCCCATCTGTTTCTGCTTCGCCGTGTTTAATGCCCGACCTCTTCTCTTTGGGTATCAACGGCAATTTGCAGGATCACTTCAGTTCCCACCGTACCGACACAGTTGTCGACACTCTCTTCATTTTGGACCCTCAGAGCCGAGCACGACATCGTGATATGTTGGAAAATGGTTTAAACATCCCGAGGAAGGTCTGCCTGGAATGGCATCAAATTCTTGATACTGAATGTAGTCCAGGTGTGATCAATGCATCGAATGATAACCCGGCATCTTGGCTCTTGCCTAGCAAGCTTTAGATACCTTCAAGGCACCCACCGTCCGCTTTCCAGGCAGAAGGGTCGACACGGCTATTCGCGTCTACTTGGACTTCCGCTTGTTCGCTCTTGCTGAAGTCGTGAGTTCTGGAATGCGGGCTTCTGCAAGTCAATAGCCGTGCATGGTCATTTTCAGATTAGCAGTGACAAATTCGAGTCATCCAGCTTGGCGCCGGTATGTAATCTTCATATGTGTCCCAACCTCCTCACAGTCATGGTAGTGACTCTGAGCATCTATGCATTGAACCTTTAACATTCTCCGTTATCGGGTCAAGTGAGACATGGCGCCATTGAGGAACCCTGATATAAAAGCATCGATTGTCAGAATTGTCTCAAGGCAAACTCGGGAACAACAACTCGGAGATCTTTCCCACGAGCAACGCTTCGTTATGCAGCACAATGCTATGTGCTAAATCTTTCACCTTCAGATAATCTTTATCGAGGTACCTGTTTGCCTCTAAATCTCGAGTGTGCGCGCGAGTGACGCTAAGAGTCGGTTTTAGCAGGCCACACCAAATGCATAAAGACTATCAACCCCTCAAACTTCAAGTCACCCGCCCATAAAATACGGCTCCAATGCTTCAGTGTTGCCAGACTAAATAAACATGCGGCGCGGAGAGGGTGGGTTGATTGGTAGGGTGTAATACATGTGCCAGCTTCGCGCATTGTCGCATTTGCGCGGGAGAGTAGCTACATCTCATGCTGTATCGCCATGAAAGCGGCATAACACAAGAAGGAAAAAAAACTGAAGCCTCTGTTTTTTGCAACTGAAGAACAAGTGACTCAAAATCTTTGTGCCACAAGCCAAGCCATCGTGGGCGGCCATCCACATGTAACGAATTGGACAAATTCTCAAGACGCTCTCCCCTCTCTGCTCCGCATACAAGGCATTGACGCAAGTGCAAGGGTGCAGCCGAATTTCTGGTGCAGACTATGCGAATCTCTGCAAGAACGATGCGGCCGATGATGCACATAATTATTGACGTACCAGGAGACAGGGTGTTCCAGTGACATCACCCTGGATGAGATAGCAACGCCTTGATTCCTGCCAATCTGGTATCTTCAAACCCGGCGCAGATCACTCGAGTCTCAAGATCTTCTGGAAACCGTCTTTGAGCCCAAACGTGGCTGAAACATCCAACATGGAGGACGATCAGACGGCAAGCTGTGAACCAAAGAGAATACCAGTCGTCCACGCCCAGTCGAGTTGTAACGCCTTCAGCCTTCCGGGAGCACCTGACGATCACGGTATCGGGCCTTACCGACAGAAACCTGACGGAAGAGCATTGTGTCTCTCTTTGTTGCTTGTATGGAGGAATCCGCAACGCGGAGCTTCGGCCCAAACAATGGACAGTTTGCTGCCAACGGCTCAGTGCTTGATTTGCAAAGAGGAAAGCATGGGCTGACGAATGGCCTGGCCGTAGTGTTTCGTCCGAGCAGTCTCAAGACACTCCTTGCTCTGACCGAGTGATAGCTTGCGTGTCCTTCATTTTCACCTCATCTGCCAAGCCTAAAGAAAGACAAATCGGGTATAGCATGAAAACCCGTGCTGTTCACAATGATTAGCTGTATGATCTGTAACAGAACCGGGGAATGTGTATAGAAAGGTAGCCGGCTCACCAAAGCATCGACGCCCAGCCACTGGCCAGTCAGCTGTCTGAAGGGTACTGGCATCCACCTACGCGGGAGGAACCTAACACAAAATGAAACCGATGCGAAATAACGAAAACATTGGACGAGAAACGCACATAAAAAGGATATAAAGAAGCAACAGAAAAAAATAATTTCTGGGTCAAGCCTCCACGTCCAAAAAGACGGGCCGGTGGTCGGACAGGAAGACACCATCATCAAACTTGTTTGAGAGAATTCCAAACAACATCAGTTTGAACGTTGGTGGTCTCTGGACAAAGAGAAAGTCGATTGTCTTTGCCTTCTCGTCTGGCTCGCCAAAAGACGTGTATGTGATCTTGCGGTTGCCATATTTGAGTTCATCCGGGAAGACTGCAGATGCGTCTTGTAGTCCTGAGTCTGATGAGGTCAACGTCTTGTATGCCAGGTCTGTTGGGGTGCTGTTGAGGTCGCCGCCCAGAACCAGCGGAGGATCAGAGTCTCGGTTCGTTTGTCTCCATTCGGAGGCGAGTTTGAGAATGAGCTTGGAGCTTTCTTCCCTTGCAACCTGCCCTCGGTGGTCAAAATGGGTACTCATGACAATGACTCCTTTGCCTGTCGTCTTGTGCCGGAATGACCCGACGGTCACGATCCTCTCTAGGACAGCGTCCCAACCGAATGACGGCTTTTCTGGAGTCTCGGAAAGCCAATATGTTTTCCAGTCTTCACAGTCCCATTGATCCACTCGGAAAAAGATGGGCGAGAACTCGCCAGCGAGTTTGCCGTCTTTTCGACCCCGGCCAATATGACCCCACGACGGACCGAGAGAATCCTGGATATCCATAAGCTGTAAGAAGAGGACTTCTTGGAGGCAGAGGAACGTTGAGTCATGGCCAGAGGTAAGGAAGTTCAGTTGAGCACAAAGCCTTGGCCGACGCGTAGTCCATGGTTGCTCTCCGGGAACAGGGTCTTTGGTAGCGTAGCGGATGTTGAACGAAACAAATCGAATGTGGATTCGAGCAGACCTTGGGGCTGGCGATTCTGGGAGCGTCATGCTGCAGTTGAAAGCCCAAACCAAATCCTTGCTGGCGATCGAAGCTAGCGACAGTGGATGCGTTTTAGGGCTCGACGGGAGATCGCAACGGGGATCAGGGAGATTTGAATATCGGAATCACTTGGAAGGAAGTAGTAAAGATGCTATTCGGACCGAGTCTTACTGACTGGGTTGTTTCCCAACGCATGAATTTGAGGGAGAACTCTGTGGGTTTTAATGTGTTTGTTTCAAAGTTCAGGGAAGTTGGAGGTGAGGTTTGAGGTTGAAGTGGCAGTCGCGTCATGCCTGCAACACCATGCCTGCCGCAAGCCCTCGGAATCTCTTATCGATGCTTATCGGACTACATACACAAGCAAAGCACATATCTTGCACAACTATGAGTGCATCCACAACTCAGCACGTGCCATGTGTGGTGACTGATGACTGCAACATGATGCCCGGACTTTCGATCGTCAACCTCACCAATGATTTCCGTCTTCATGTCACGGCCCGGTTGGGCTGCTAGCGGTGCCGGGTTGCAGCAATCAGCAGTACAGGTTCGATAAATAGTTGCACCCTCTTTTCTCCTCGTGCGAGATCGTGTTCCTGCTTCATGACGAAGCATGACCTATCGGCGCACCTTGTTCCTCGATTTCTCGTTTATCGCTCGATTTCCATCCGAGATCATTCCAGAGGGTTTGGCCTTGGTTTCCTTCCGGTCATGATCAACACACCACAACTGCACATCATGCAGGTACCTCAGATCAGACTTGAAAACTCTTCTCTCGAGGCATGAACAACAAGACAGATATCGTGGAGTCTCGTCGTACGACCACCATCGCCAACAACCAGGGCATCGGCGCATCTGCTGGCGTGACCTTGTGGATTCCCAAGCTCCCAAGAGCTCAACCCTACCTCTACATACCTGCTGCTCCGTAGCCGGGTAGCCGTGATTCGGCAGGCCGTCCTGTGGCTAGTGACTCGGCGATGCGGCTCCGTGCCATGTCTCTGTCCATGGCTCTGAATCAACACCGAGCAAAACCTTCCAAAAATCCGGCTTATTCACCAGCCTTTACGGATTCACAGCCATCATGCTTGCGAATTGCGCAGTCATCTGGCTGCCCGAGTGGGTGCTATGAGTGCTTCCTCCTTGATTTCCTCATCTTTGGTTGACTGTCTGAGCTCAGCAACCCGGTCTTTTGCTGCGCGTGATGCCGAAAAGTCGCGGGAGCCGCGTTTCCCGCTTTCCATCACAATCCTTTTCCTGCTTTTCGATATCGAGCCATGGGCTTTTTCCTTCTATCCATTTCGTTCCAAGCTAACCAAGCGATCCCACAACCCCCTCCTGCCCCTCCTCAACCCGCCCCGTGATGCCAGGAATGGCACGCTTTACGGGAGCTTCTGGAGTCCTGTCGGGGATAGGCGATCAGAGGTCGGGGCCTGATTGGCTGCAGCGCTAAAGGAGGAGGGCGGTCGCCTTGTATTCGCCCCGCCAAATGAGACATATCGCTGGGTAGTGACACACCATGTTCACCTCACAAGGCGACGCCTCATCCTGGTTGGCACTACATCGATGACTGTGTCTGATATTGTGAGAGCGGCATGCGAGACATGCCAGCCATTTCCGGTGAGAGGGTGTGGTCCTCACCGGGTTGGTATATAGCCAAAGGCATGCTCGTTCGTGTTCAGCTCGTCAGTCTACACAGTCATCTCTTGTCAGGTTCTACAACAGCAGGAGAACGCTCATTTCTGGTAGTGTTTGGCACTCGTTTTCTGACAGATTCGTTATCTTGAGCCGGCCAAGCCAGCCCCGGGTTTCCTCTTTTGTCACCGCGTATCTTTCGGTAGCATATCTCATTTCGGTGTGGTGCAACGGTTCATATATCACAGCAGTCTCGCCTTTACTCCCCACCCCGAAGGATCATTCTCTTCACCGAAGGCCAGCACAATGCCTTCCTCTCAACCCTTTAGCCATGGAGCTCTTCGTGACTCCTGGCCACCTACTCAAATCAGAATCGACCATGGCGACTTCCACGATGTTGACCTATCCCACATCGACCAAGACCCTCTCACATACTTCCTCACGCCCACACCTGCCGCCGATGCGCTTGACGACGACGACATGGATTTCGACATGGATTTCGACGCTGGTATTGAGGACACCAAACACCCGGCGCCCATCGTGAGAAGCGTCAGCCCATCCAGCCTCGGTGGCCTCAGCCTCCCGCCCCCTCGGCCACCAACACCACCCAGGTCGTCGTCGACTCCCGAGCTCGACTTTGACGGGTACCCGACCCCTGATGACAAGGAAGACTATATGCATCTCGCGGCCGCCGCATTCAATTTGCCTGTTCTCCGCCTGAAGGACCTGACCAAGAAGCCCAAGATGAGGTCCCGTCCAAACATTAGCAGCAGCAACAGCCGCCCCAGCAGCAGACTGGACAACTACAGGGACAGTCACTCGACGACCGACTACGACCTGCCCCTGACACCTCCCTCTCCGTCTTACAGCCACTTCGCCAACCGCGGTCGACCAGTGACCCGACCTAGTCCGCGAACCGGCATGACCAGACCATTCCGTCGGTCACCGCACTCTTGGCGGGAGCCCAGCCCGGATGTTTGGGCTATCGAGGAGGAGACGGATGAGGAGCTTCACGACAGCGAGATGGGTGACAGTCACCACGCGGAGCACAAGTATGCTGGTGCTAGGAACATTGAGTCACCGTCGACGGCTTCGTCAAAGGGAAGAAGAGGGTTCGGTTTGCGCTGCCCTTCGAGCAGTGATTCATTTCAGCTTATGTGTTTCGTTGGAGGACCTCATCTCATCACCTCCATTTTTTAATTTTTTTTCGTTCGCGCATGGTCTAAGGTTAAGATGGGAGGAATTAGGTATCGTCATTTGCATTCGGAGGGAGGTACATTTGCATTTCCTCATCATGATTTTCTTTTGGTTGGGGCTACGGCGTTGGTGGATCAGTATATCTTGTTTTCCTTATACCCTTCTGTACATTCTTTCTTGTTGGATCTTTTTGCATCTAGGGATCAATCATCGGGCGTCATTTCATGTATGGAGTACACTGCATTATTACCTAGGTATCACAACAGTATGTGGAATAACAGGGAAGAGATGGGACGTTTGTCGCCTTGAAGTCTTAATATATTGGCTGGTTATTATGGGTGTAACTGGCAAGGGTCTAATCTGTTGTCTACTTACTAAGGGAATGAAGGGATGGGGTGGAGGACATACGTTTTTAGATACATATCTGAGGTCCACACCTCGCGCGGCTATCTGTTCAATTTACTCACAATCATGTACACAACTTGGCGATATTCCTCCGCGTGTCAAGAGACCCTTTGTATACGTATTGAAAACCCATCGCCTGGACAGACGTTAAGTGAGGACTTGACTTTGCATACACAGTACATGAACAGCTCGCTCATGGAAAACTAAATTAGGTTACATCCGCCCGAACATTAACGCAGTTCAGTCTCGCAGTCGCAGTAAAGTGAGATCCACAGCAAACTATACATTGCACATGCCGTGCCGAGCGGATTGCAGTCTGCCCGACGGGAGTTGCATGTCCAGGTGGTCCTAGGACGTTGCTTTTCGGGTACGCCGACCCTATCTATACTCGGGTCGGCTCACCTATATTATCTCCGTTGTCCTTATCATGATCTCACGTAACATGCTCAGGTGAGATTGGCTGAGATTATGAGAAGTGAGGTCGAAGGGAAGAATGTTGTGCTGAGTTTATTAGAATCGAATCGCCCGTCGTGGTGGTTGCAGTTGCTGATGATGTCAGGTGCCAGAACCACAACACCCACCCCCCATGAGAGCCCAGCCCCGCTACCGTGCCGTGTAAACATCTGGTGACAAGGATGACCCACCATTTGCGATTGAGCGTGCAAGTGCAACGCGGCGTTGAAGGCCCACTTCGGAAGGAAAATGCTCACTAACTTTTGAAAGCGAAAAATAAGGGGGAAAAAGTTAGTGCAGTACTTTCATATTGGGTGAGCTTGGGTCACTGCACACGTCCGTCCTTGCGTCCAATTCCCGTCCCTCAACTCAACTCAACTTGAGCTTCTGCCCTCGTGTCGCATATCTTGAGGTTACGTACTTCGATTAGCTTGCACAAGGGACTCGAGGGATTGTTGGTGAGATATTCGACTTCCATGGCTGCTCCGGCTGCTTCCCTTGCGTTTGATGTTGGTTTCTTGGTTAACTAGGAATCAGGAAGCGAAGTCAAGGGAACTTATGTACCACTCGCTCTGAGTGGAAGCGACTGTAACAAAACGATGAACGGCACCAGCCCCCACCAAGGCAGCCCACCCTTCCCGATCTGGTGCATAATTAGATACCAGCTTCGCCAACCCGGCCGCAGGAGAAGATCAGCTTAGTTTCCAACTTCCAGACCGGCGCGGGAATGACTGCAGAAGCAAGAAGTCGGAGGGAGAAACCGGCCGATAACTGACAACATCGCGGATTGACCAAAGGGTATGAAGTGGAACTACGGCTTGTGTCTTTTCGGTTCCGGGTGTTACTGCTCTTTTTCACTTTTGGGATTCCGATTCGGATGAACTTCAATTCCATGTCGATGTCCGTTGTCCGCAACACTGCACCCATTTCGATCATTGTCATTGGCGGCCACGGGAAAAGATAACCTCATACTCAGCCACGAGGGGGATTGGTTACCCATTACGATATCTGAACGGCCTCAGCAAAACAGAAGCTCGGCTCCTAGGTCAGGCCCCTTCTTCGCCCGCCCGCTCCTTTTTTCCACAACACGCGCGCCAGCCAGCCTATGATTGTCTGAAGGTACCAACATTCGTTCACTGAACCTTCCTGTCGCACCACAGCAACTTTGCCCGTCGGCTACCTGCTCGCACTACCGAACCGCGTGGTCGACAGCTGATTGCCTCTTTACCTCAGGAACATACATACCCTTACCCTTGCCCTCTGTACGTCTGTCCTGCGGTTACCTTGACTTTGGTTTCTGTTCTTTGGGATATACCGTGTTGCGCGTGTCTTTTAGTCCCAGAGTCTAATATCACCTGCAGCCCAAGCTATTTCAGGGATCAAACCAGAGCTGAGCTGATATAGCTAGAGCAAACAGCTGCAAAGCCAGGGCTGAAGAGAGCTTGGAATTCACCAACACCACACGCCAGCCACTCTCCACCGCCTTTCGTCGCTCGTTCCTGGATTCTGGAGAACATCCACGTATTTTCCACGCAGGCTGGGCGGAGTTGGAAGCGCCTAGATCGGTGCCGCAGAAGACGCAAACACCAGGAGCTAGACCTACTGTGGTTTTGTTCCCGTTAGCCAGTGGGGCCCCTATGGGCTCTTACGATCCGACCCAAACTGGACGTCATCCCATTCACACTCAGTCATTTTCTCCTTCATCTCTTCTCGGCTGCTTCTCGCGAAACCACGGCGACCGCGGAAACGCGCATCCAGAGAACCTGACCGGCGCGCCTCGTCGACTTCTCCATGAATCACCGGTAGCGCCCTTCAAGGTTCAAGGTTGTATCTGGACCCCCAATGCGGACTACCAGCATGCGGGCTCCCTAAGGTTAGAGCGCCAATTCATCCCATCTCCACATGTCCAAAAGTCAACAAACAACATCCCCGTGGCTACCATCCATGGGCATCGCAAGATTATTACCCCTTTTGTCGCAAACAAACTGCTGACGCTGCACCCGTGATAGACAGAAGAAATGTCACCCCCAAAACCGAAACCCGACAAATCTCCATCACCACGGCCAAAGACCCCCAAGATCACCCCTACAAACTCCAAGAATGGCGCGCCGACAACCTCACCGACCAAGTCGGCCCCGGCTCCGGGCGCCACCACTCCCAAGAGTATGCCGACACCTACCAATAGCGGCCTCTCGCAACATAAAAAGAAGCCCGAGCTGAGGAAGCCCGAACCGAGTCTTCTGGGGGATTTCTTGCTCGGCCGACCATCCCCGCAGCGCATAGCCGCCCAGCGCTCAGCCTCGAAGCGCCGAAAAACCATGTCCATGGATGCCCAGAATGTTCGCGAGGAGCTACGCCAAGAGATGCGCGCCGCAGCTGTACGGAAGCTACAACAACCAGGTGGTGTTCGAGATCGCGTCAAGGCATGGCAAAAGGCGTCGCAAGCGGCCGTCAAGGCAGAGGGCCTTCCTATCCCGGTAGCAGAGGATGCACCAAGCGAACCGACCGAGTTCGCGGTTAACCTGAGCGGCGATGACGTGGATGAGGAGGACAGAATGAGAATCAAGTGGCGGCAGAAACCCAAGAAGAAGAACCCGAAAATAGTGACGGCGGAACCCAAGACTTCGACTGGGAGCGATAGCACTGCCAAAGAGGAAAAAAGGTGTCAGGAAAATCAGCCGACGACAGGCCCGATGTTATCATCAAGGAGGCGCGACCGAGGCCCGAGTTACCGAAGAAGAGGATCATAAGCGACGACCACTGGATGAAGAAGCAACAACAAAAAGGGAAAGGGTCTGCGAAGCCACCAGTACCCGAAGCAGGCCAACCGATACCGAAAGACTTTCTCAAACGAACAGCGCAAAATCCATCGGTACAGAAGAAGATTAAAGATTGGGCTCAGAGGGTAGAACTACCACCGCCCCCACCACCGATCGCCAAGCGCCCAACGATCAAGAAGTATCGACATGCCAAGACCGGTGAGACCGTCACGGTTGAGGAAGAGGAGAGCGACGAACATCACCGTGGGGCTTTGTCGGAACCAGATATGCCTCGGAGGAAGCGCTCCTCGTCTGGTGAACGTAGGAGGGCAAGCCCAAAGCCAAGGACGGCACAGCGTACACCCGATGATGGAATCAGGGTACGTCCTTTGCAGGAACGGCGCTCCCATGATGATGGTATCAGGGTCCGCCCAGTTAAGCCCGCTCGCTCACTGCCAGACGATGGGGTCAGAGTCCGCCCTGGTCGTCCTGCCTCTGCCAACAGCAGCAGCAGGTCCACTTCTACATCAAGTCCCTCCTCTTCGTCCGGACAGACACCCAGTGATCGGCCTGGTAGCAGAACACCGCCCAGAAGGGCTTCACCTCCTCCTAGGCGTGCTTCAACCCTGCCTAAAGAAGCATCGACTTCCAAGCCAAGAGCGCGTAGTGAGCACTCGGCTGCTTCTGACGATGTGATAGAGGTTATTGTCGAACCCGAAAGCGAAACGTCATCTGCTTCGAGAAGCCCGAGTCCTCCGCCAAAGAGAAGGTTAAGAAGCCCTCCGCCTCCCAAGCGAAAGGGACCAAGAAGGAGAGGGTCTCGCGGTGGTGTGCGAAGAAAGCCGAAGCCAAGAAGCCCCAGTCCACCAACCACTGCCACGCAAACAGAAACCACAACGGATGGCAGGCGGCCGGGCGCTGACAAACCACGGCCTGCTCCTAAAGTTCATGAATCATCAGGAGAGGATTCTGACCGACACCCACCAACTGTCGCTGGCATTGACGATTTAGCAGAGATTCCATTTGGCTTCTCAGCTTTTAGTGAACTGGATCTCCCGCTGAGGGGAAATCCCGAAGGAGCACACGTCCGACAGAGTACGAAACCTAAGCCGAAACCTCAGAGGACCGATAGTCTCAAGCTAGTACCGAATGTCCTCAGGAAGGTTGTGAGCGGCGCCATGGAGAAGATGCAGGAGATGGCGCATGAGATGGCGGAACCGCCGAGGCCTCCTCCTACGGGGAACAAGCCCGCTAGGATCGAATCTTGGTTGAACAACACGGTTGACCCTTTCGTGGAGGGTATGCCTAACCTACCGCCTGTTGTGGCCCCCGAACCCCTACGAGTCTCGACCGCTGAGCGCAATTCCAAGGAGAAGTTGGTGGACAGAGGTTTGCCGGCTCATAGGGAACGGGCCCCTGAGCGCAACTCCAAGGAGAGGTTGGTCGATAGAGACTCGCGCAATTCTAAAGAGAGGCTGGTCGACAGAGACTCACGCAATTCGAAAGAGAGGTTGGTCGACAGAGAACTGCCGGCCCATAGGGAACGGACTCCTGATATTTCCAAGCGCGCTTCAGTAGAGCAGCCGCGCAGGAAAGAGAGACCTCACACTCCACCAACCCATGAAGAGCCACGGAAGGCTTCAACTCGATCGGACGATAGCGGCGTAACTCCCAAGAGGAGAAAGAGCCCTACGACTACCCATGATCCGGCGGCCGTTCTGAAAAGACGCTCGACTCCTAGGAGCCCAACATTACCACGAAGGAGTAGTGGTCCTGTTAAGAAGCCCTTCCGGGATGTTTTGAAGGAGGCCTTCAAGGGCGAATCCAGTGCGCACAAGATAGTCCCTATGGTATATCCCAGCTGCGAGACAGATGTTGAGTCTGAACCAGAGACTGAGGATGACTTCGAGTCCAGGAGAAGCCCACCGCAGCAGTGCTCCCCTGACTCGTACAAGAGAAGATCAGCATCTCCAGATCGCCCTCCCACAGCTGATTCCTATTCCTCATCCGAGCCTAGCACGCGAGGTCCCCCGCGAAGTAGACGGCCAACGAGTGGCGCTCATGATTTATCCACCATACTATCTGAGGACTCCCGCGAAGATCAGGAACCACATGGCAAGAAGGATACGGATAGCGTCTCCACTGTTTCCCAGTCCACCGTGACACAGACTCCCGAGGAGGCGTTCGGCCAGCCGACACCCCTCACCAGAGAAGCGAGTCAACAGTCACAAACCTCCCAGAGATCCCGCAAGTCTGGCAGCTTGAAGCGCCGACTTACCAAGCACTCTGATTTGGTTTCAGTACTCTCACTTCCAGACGATGGCCAAATCATCCCACCCAACCGCTCAAGGAGCATCAAGGCCTCGCGCAGCCTTCATAGAAAGCCTAGCAAGGCTAACGACGGCAGAGTAAAGGATTTGCTAGAGGAGTTTGCTGATGATGAACACTTTTATCATCGGGAACTCAAAACCTTGGTCGACGGTGTCGTCCCCGTGCTTTTGAACGAGTTTGTCCATGGCGACGATGTGGACGATGCTGATCGCAAAACGGACAGCATGGCCAAGGCTGTGGTAAATATGGGCGTCGCTCTCGAGAAGTTGTGGACTTACCATAAGCGTGCTCCTCTGCATGATATTCGCAGGCTCCTTGAATGGCTCGAGGCTGTCTCGCCAGTCTATAATAACTACCTCGACGTATGGCGATTGGGATTCCAGGATCTCATTGTCAATCTCGCACCACCAAGTGGGAGGATTGACGAGAATGATTCCCTCCTGAATGCGCTACCTCGCAACGAGGCTGGCGATGTGCTCAGCTACAACGGTGAGCGGGTAGATGTCGCGTACTTGTTGAAGCGGCCCCTGATCCGAATAAAGTGGATGTACAAGTTTCTCCGGGTAAGTTCCACTTGCACAACCATTGTCACCGCTAGCTTGGCGTGAACTGTCACTAACATGAGCGGTGTGTATGTGTAGGCGGCTGTTATGGTGATCAAGACTCCAGAAACCGAGGACTTGCTCAAATTGTACGGCAACCTCCAGGAGAAGGCCCGTACACGGCATCGTGAGGAGTTTGCTCGCATGACCGATGAGGACGCCAACAACACCGACACAACCCGTATCAGAGACCTCCGCACCCTCCGACCTCTGGACAACGTTCGGGTTGACCAGACCAGGCAAGTGGCAGCTAAAGACTCCTTTGAGATGGATCTTGACCACTCGACCGGTCAACGACTTGAGTGCCAGATCGAGCTCATGCACCGAGACAGGGTCAACGTGCCTTCCGACATGGGTGATATCCTCATCCGTGACATCAGCAACAAGGCTAAGCCATGGCTTCTTTTCCCGCCCGTTCCAAGGCAGTACATCTCGGCAAGGAAAGGCGACAGTCCCCGGAGCATGGTTGTCATGATCCGCGGTAGACACAACGGCAGCGAGTGGTACGAGCTGATCAAGCTGTCCACTACCGAAGAGGCCCAGATCACGGACTGGCTGGATATCTTGGGTAGCGATCCTATGCCTCCCCTCTCACGGCCAAAGCCCAGGATGAGCATGAGCCTCATCCAGGTCAGTTCAGCAAAAGCAGACGACCTCGACGTCCCGATTGGTGAACCAAGCGTCATTGGCGCGTCTGATGATGAATCCAAGACGCCTAGCCGATATCACAAGCGGCAAACCAGCGCTCCAGTTACCTCTTATCCGGCTCCCAGCAAACACATTCCCTACAGCGAATCAGTGGATATCTTCAGATCTCAGCCACTTACACCAGCTTACGGAATCGAGCCTGTGCCTATTCCTAAGCCTCTCAACATTAAGGGTGCAGCTCCCGTTCAACCTCCCGTTGAACTTGCTCCTACTGCTCGGGTAAAGAGGCGCACATCCTCTCCTCTCAAGCACGAGTATCATCCTTCAGACACCGACTCTGAAACTGAAGACTCTGCCCTCAGCGACTCAGAGTCTTCGTCATCCTCCAGTGATGAGCTGGATGAGAATGATGTTCCTGATACAATCCCAGGCTATAGCATCAAGCAGCCCCTGCCCCAGATCGTTGAAGAGTCCGTTGTCTCCGACAACACCATAGCGCCATTAGACTCAGCTTCTCAGGTTGGAGCGCCTCTTCCAGGCCAGCAAACACCGCGAGAGAAGCCTGTGCAGAGGTTCGTTGCATCAGTCTCGTACTGGTCCAACAGAAAGGGCATTTGGAGGGAGATCAACACAGAACCCTCCCAGATCCTGGTTTTCCCTGGTAGCATGGAGGTACACATGCTCCACGAAACCCCTGGCAACAAACAGGCATACCCTCTGCAGACCTCTGGTACGTCTGAGGTTGACATGGCAAACAGAGAGGCTGGAGGCATTGTCCCTCTCATCTGCCTCATCCTCACCCCCGTGGTCATGATCCGCCGTAGCACGGCACTTGACCTCGAGGTCCGCAGCCGCGTATCTCCCGAGTCTCGCCTGAGCAGCATCGATAGCGGCATGTTCCGCTTCCGCGCCGCGAGCCAGGATGAAGCGAAGGCCCTTTACGAGGCGGTGCACCGAAGCCGGCTGAACAATGCTAGGTACATTCAGCTTGCTGAAGAAGCACGCGTCCGTTCCTTTGGGCAACAAGTATACGACAATTCTGGCGCCGGTAGCGCCGACGGCACTGAGACCTCAAGCCGTCGGAAGGGCATCTTTGGCCGCAAGAACAGTTATCGCGCATCCACTCGCGCACCCAGCCAGCACAGCAGCGCAACCACCAGCGTCTCGGCTACCAGCTTCCTGCGTCGCTTGCTCGGTGGCGAGAACAAGTCGTTCAATATCGGCAAGTCCACTGTAGACAAGCAATCCCGTCCCGGCTCGATTGCCGGAAGCGGTACCCCAGGCGGCGGCGGCAGCCTGTACTCTAGCGGCTACTCCTCGAGTCCCGGCAACGACTCCTCAACCCCACCACGGAGCGCCTCCGCCTCCGTCTCCGGCAGCGGCAGCCACTCCCCCAGCCGCTGGAGCACCGGTCTTGCCAAGCCGTTTACACCAGGCCAACCGCTCGAAATCCGCTGCCACTTGAACGTGCAGGGCAACCGCTGGGCCGACAAGGGCGATTGCATCTTGCACATCAGCCGTCCTCCCCCCGGCGTCCGTCAGGAGCTATCGCTCTACCACGGTCTGGAGAAACGCATCATCGTGACGCACGCCACCAAGAAGGTTTCAGACAAGCCGCTCATCTTGCTTGATGCCGTGCTGGGATCCAAATCCTTCAGCATGCTGGGAACAAAGGGCATCATGTGCAGCGTCTGGGAGAACCTGCGCGACGAAGAAGGAAACGTTGGTCTAGCGCCCCGCACAGGAACGGTTGCCGGCAAGGTGACCAAGTGGTGCTTCCAGTGCAAGAGCGTGCAGCAGGCCAACTGGATCTTTGGCATCGTCACGAGCGAGGTGGAGGGGTTGATGCTCTAGGCGATGCGTCATCCCCCGAATTCGAATCCGGACCTTGAGCCAGTCTTGGAAGAGAAGCAGCAGAGCAGTAGTGGAAGTAGAAGTGGAAGTGGAAGTAACAGTGGAGGCGGTGGGAGTAGTAGTAGCAATGGCTGTTGCTACACAGCACAAGCACAGGTGGTGCGAGATCAAAGAAGAAGAGAAATGTGGAAACGAAAGTTGGACGAAAGTCCTGAAGGGAAGAGAAGAAGAGAAAAGAGAGCGGAGGAGAGGCTGAACAGGTTGATGATGATGTCTGCCGGCGCCGCGTAGTAGTGCGGAGTGCAGAGTGCAGAGTGCAGCACTGTACTATCTACAGCTGGCGACGCAGACTTTGTGGTGGAGTTTACAAGCTGGGTTTGCATCGATGCACATTAAGTGCAAGTCGGTGATGAGCGCTCCATGCATTGCATTGCGTTGGGTTTTAAACTATTTCTCTCCTATGTTTTCATAGCCTGTGTATGGCTTTTTATACCCCTTATACATATATACCTATATCCCTCTCTACACACGGCTATCAGCGAGCCCGAGGGGGGTGTATTTCTTATTCATAATCATTATTCACTATTGAGAAGACGCAACTTTCTCTCTCTCCTCTGCTCTGTTCTTGTTATCGTGGTACCTACCCAATACTTATTCCTGCTCCCTGAAGGAATTCTGCTATGTCTTCTGGAATGATATACCAAAGGAGTTTCTGGTCAGACGGCGGTAGGGGTACCTCCAACTTTAGCTCTAGTCTCAACAACAACCTACCCTGGTTGAAGTTATTCGAATGACATGACATACACAACCTGTACAGCCCAGTTAAGACTTTGTCCTCAAGCCGATATTTGTATTTTCTTGAAATGACCTGCCCCCTTCTTCACTCTGCCTCTCTTGTTATTATGCGCTCGTTCTTACCACCCCACCTTCCCACAACATCTTTTTAAAAAACTCTAGTACCTAGTCTGAGCTGGTCTAGCCCTCGCTCCCTCCTTCCGACGGGAGTCAGAGACGTCCACGCGTGACCAGTGGCATGTAACGGCAAAGGACGTTTCCATACCCGAACACTTGTAGTATAATCCCGATTCCTCCCTCAGTCAGCTCTTTAACATCCGGAGATGACGGTATGTACCATACACAGAACAAAATCACTTGTTATAAGGTCCAGGGTACTTTTACGTAAGCTGAGACTTTTCTACCCACTGTCACGGCGCTGGCGAACCACTACGTCACTAGGCTATGTTCCAAAAGGATACAAGTAACCGAAGCTGGCAATTCGGTCGCTCAAGTGGTCTTATATAGTTGTGATGGCAGTCGAGAGGCACAACTGCAAGGCTGCCATCACACCCACCGTTCCTGCCGTTCCTGCCGTTTCTTCCACCACTAACCAACAACTACTCTGCCTGCCTGCCTCTGCCTACCTGCCTGCCTGCCTGCCTTCCCTCCACTGTTCCTACCTTCCTACCTTCCTACCTTTATACCTTCATACCTTCCTACCTTCCTACCTTCATACCTTCATACCTTCATACCTTCCTACCTTCCTGCCATACGGTTGTACCTACACTATCTCCTGCATTCCATCTTGTTAGCCGGACGGCCGCCCGGTACGCTCACCCTTTTTCTCGTTTCTCTCCTTCTGCCCTTCCTAGGCAGACATGATGACATGGGACGACAAGAACACTTCCCATCCGCCCGCCCGACTGCCCCGTACCTGCCCTCCGCGGACACCATATATATGTAAACTCCCGTACCTTATCTGACCTCCCTTACCCCAACAGGGAGGCCCTGTGGCCTGGTCTTATGGCGTAGTGGTTAGGTACCGTTGGTGAATAACTTGCCCGACGTGGCGGTTTTCGTAAAGTCGCAGCTGGCGGATTGTCGTTCGTTCTACAAGCGTACCTGGGTGACTCGGTTTTTTGCTTTTGTTTCATTGGATTCTGAAAACTGCCGAGGATTTCAGAAATTTGGTTTGGAAGTTTTATTCTTGTTTCTTAGGAAGAAAAGAGGTCTTCTTTGTGCGATGTGGGAGGCGAGGCGGGAGATGGATTGAAGAAGGGTGATGTTATGTTTGCAGCGCCGACCGATCGACAGACCCACCGTGATCTCGCCTTCAACCAAGATGCTCAGTCATGCTGGGGAGTCAAAGTACAAGATAAAGTGATGAAACACGAAAATAGAACGAATAACCAGTTCCATGTACAATAACTCAGCTATTATATGATTATGGTTAAGTATTAACAGACCCTATGAGATCCTGTTGAACCATCTTGCCCTGATCTCCCTTGCCCTCTTCTGCATCGCCAGCGTGGGAAATATTATCGTAGTCCACATGATACACATATCCGACTTTGGAATCGATCAAGATCTCCAAAACGATCGAGACCATATTAACACCCAGCACATTAGCAAGGACCAGCTCAGCTCACATATACACCGCGCAAGAAAAATGTTCCAGACCATCTCTTTCTTTCGCCTGATCACTTCAAGATACTACATATCCTTCTTGTCCATCTGCGAATTTCATCATTCATGGTCTGTCCACCTATCGTCCTCTCTCCCCTCATTGTAGATCCTCCCATATCCACAAAACAGTATAATTATCGATCGAGCCGAGGTGCAATAACAACCTCGCTCATGAGATGTCAAGCCAAAACAAACGCCGCCCAATGCAACCTGTAGCCACCGCTGACGGTGCTAAGGATCCAATAACCAATTACCAAAAATCCAACGCTTTTTTTTTTTTCAGAGCCCAAGGGTAGACACATCAATGCCATACCTTGTCTCTCAAAACAACTTCAAGTCCCTGTCCAGAGAGGACCAAAAAAACCATTATCAACAGCAGTCGCTTATGCAGTTGGGTATCATGACCATCCAGTGATGTCCGTAAGGAGTGTGTATCTAAAGCTCGTCGAGTGTGTCGTCGAGATGCAAGTGTCGCAAAAAGGAATGTGTATGCAGTTGGGTATAAATGTGATTCGTCGATCCATATAAAAGGAGTGTCTATAGTTCGTTATGGGATCCAGCCGTGGGATATATAAGGAGTGTCTATGCGTCACTGAAAGGAGTATCGTTAAGGAGCGTCTTGTGCTGTCAAGTGCAGCGTCATTGCAGTCGTTAAAGGAGTGTGAGACGCATCATAATGCGTTGCAATGCTGCAAGAATATCGTCGTGTGATCGTAAAGGAGAGTGGTATGCAATCGCGTCTGTGTCGAAAAGAAAGAAAATGCTGAGAAGAGATGAACACCGGATGCCAGATTCAGTTAGATGCGATGTGCTAGGGCCTTTCGTCCTTGATGCAAGGCTGTTCATCCTTGATGTAAGGTCGTTCTTCATCCTTGATGTAAGGTCGTTCTTCCTGGACGTAAGGCCGTTCTTCTTTCACGTTCTCATTGTCCAGGTAGTTCGAGGTTATGGAAGACATCGAGATGCTGTGGCCATGGCTTGAAGGTGGTGTGAACATCATCGATGGGGTTGGCGACTCCGGGAGCGGAAGTCTGGTGGAGTATTGTCCGGAACCGAGGAACGGAGAAGGGGCGAGGCGTGGGGGACCGGGCCAAAGTACGGTAAAGTCGTCCGGAGGCGGGTAGGTGGGCGTTGAGCTTGGCATTGTGGGAGTCCTGGTGGCCATGTTAATTAAACCTTTGCCTTTCTTAAGAGCCGGACAGCGGCCGGTGTGGCGATCAAAGATCCTAGACTGTCCACACGGATTGGATTGGATGGACGAACCCGACACCATAGGGGCTGGCACCGCCCATCATGGGAGTAGCGGAGAAGCCCATGTCGTACGAGGGGTATTCGTCCGGATCACTGTAGGTGATGGAAGCCGCGTCGTTGTAGTCACCGAAGGTACTCGTAGTGGGACTGTATGCTCCATACGACGGGCTCGGGATGCTAAGGTACTGTGGTTGGCCAAAAGGTGCCGAGATCTGGAGCGGACTGGGTCCGCATTCTGGGATGACGGACAGGTTCTCGGTACTATAGCTGAAAGCTGGCCTCTCTCCGTATGGCAGGTATTCGGACGATGACGCCGCGGACAAGGGCATGGGCGAATCCCCATTGGCGTAGAAGTTGTCGAACACAGGGAAAGATGGCGTACGGACCGGCTGGTTCCACCCCATGCGAGACCGGAATTCGGAGACTGTGTCAATAGGGAAGTTCATCAACGCAAGAGGGGTTGCCAAATCACCCTCGAGTTGTCCAGAAATGTTCATGGAATGCAAGCGACGCGTAATCTCCTCAACCGGGCCAATTGTCAAACTTCCAAAGTAAGCGGCACCGATCTCAGGGAAGAGGCGCTCCATGACCAGAGCAACTGTGTAGTAGTGAGCAATGATGACCAAGGCACTGGGCGAACCATGAGTCTGTTGGAGGTACATAACGGGGAGCCAGAACAGCCACGTGCGCAGGGGTCTTAAGCGCTCAAACTGTTGGGCTACCGACAAGGTTGGGCTAACCTTGCGAGCACCCTTCAGGAAGCTGATGAGCTGAGCAACGGACTTGGTGTCCTCCCTGTTGTGCTTGAGGTGAGACTCAACCTTCTGGAGCTGCTGGAGAGTCCTCTGGAAGGCGTCCAGGTCTTCCTTGCGCGGCTGGCTGGGCTTGTGGTCAGGAGCGGGTGACGGGGGAGCGGTTGGGAACGTGCTGCTTTCGGCAATGAAATCACCGAACTGAGACTCGTGCTTCCAGGGGTCCATAGCCTCAATGACCTATTGTTTCCACGTCAGCATTCGTGCCTTTTTGTAACAGTGTACGCTCGCGGTCAGACGTACCGATGAGGTTCCCTGCATGAGCTGGGTCCAGCTTCGCCTGTAGAAGCATTTTGAGTTAGCCCCTTCCATGTCTGTGTAGCCGGAAGGCTGCAGTATATTGCTTACCAATCTGTGGCTTGCCACGACAGAACAAGAGATGCGGCAAGGATGGCGTCAGAAGTGTCCTTCGAGAAGGTCCCGATGGCTTCCTGGAGACCCTTCAAGGCAATACCCCGATGCTCATAAGCCATG